CAGCGAGTGAGATACTAGATCTCAACAAGCAGAAATATCCTTGCCACTAAGCATGTTTGAGATCACTGTCTCCAAATCAACCGCAGGTAAAATGTTGCGAAGTAAGTTGTGCAAAAAGCCACTGCGCTTACTGGCAGTCTTTACGGTACACATCCAAGGAACTTTGCTTTGACGGCATTTCCGCTTTTGCGAACGCTTCCAGCGTTTTGACAATCATATTGAGCAGAACACACGAGTCCGTTCATTCGCAAGTCCTAAATCATCACTTTATGAGAAAGGGAACTTGTGAGAGCACGATGGACCAATGTCTTTGCAACTAAGTGGAGCGAAAACAACACAAAAAGTATATGTTATACCCGTTCGTGTGTATGCCTTGTCTAAGCCCCCCGCGTTTCTCAAATCCGCATCTGGATTTGAAGGTACTCAAGCAGGAAGCCGTCCACTCATCCGAAATCTGGAACTCCGACTTATAGGTTCGCAGTCTGCAAGAACGGAGTAAGAGGGTCAAGCTTCTCTCGGGACTGGACAGAGGGCATTTTTATCCGGAACGACAGCCAGAGCCCGAATCAGAAATAACATGCTGCTGTCGCTTTATTGGTCCCACTTCATGGTTTGGCGGTTTGGCCGAAATACTGTCTCAACAGAGGCGAATCTGGTTCACCGATCTGACTGCTTACGACTCCTGCCGTCAAGGATGCATGTTCAAGTTTTGGCGCCTCGAAGAAGGCCAAGCCTTTAAGATTATTACAACCTCCAAGGACAAGAAACTTCCAGCCGTGACTGGTCTTGACGTCGGAAAAAAGAGGTCTAGACGGACTGACGTTTGGCACGAGCAAAACGACGTCTTATTTTATACCGCAGGAAAGCGGACACCAGCCTCAAGGCTTTTAGAATCGGTGCCGCTTGGTGCCTCGCTCACGCTTCTAACAAGTCCGGTATCAACCGGCTCCTTTAGGGGCCAATTGCTTTATGAAATCACTCGGAGGACGATTTGGGTTAGGGTGGGGGTTAGGGCCGGTGTGGGTGCGGAGCGTGTGACAATTTGATTTAGGGTTTTGTTGTGGTGCTCGGGGCTTATGTATCTTATATCAATCTTCGGATACAAAGTCTGGAGCTACCAGTATCTTCTAGCAGGTGGTCCTCGCTTCTTGGCACTGCCGAAACATGACTGTGAAATCAGAGGGATCCCTGGGACAGAAACCCACGAAAGCCGTTACTGAGAGGCATTTGAGCAAAGGCAAACTGGGTCAATTTAATTCGTAGCTGTCGAAAGAGTCGCTCACTCGTGTAGGGGCGCCGCTCACTCGTGTTGTCCTCTTCCCGGTCAAAGTCGCTCCCCTTCCCGCGCTTCTCATTTCAAGCGGAACGGTCCATGACCTCCTGTATTCCGGAACCGACCGTAATTTCACTTGTCCATTCTGGCCGGACGTCTGCAGAATGTAAACGACAGCAGAATTCGGACAGTGAGAGCGACTCGAGGATTTCTTCAACTTCAGAGGGGCGCTTTGTCGGTTAAGTAAGCTTGACAGATCGGAAACAAAAACTAAACGACGGACTCTCGGGGGAGGCGCGAAAGTGTAGCGACATTTATTTCTTATTTGCAGAACGAATCAAGAAGATCCTGTGCCAGCATCCTAGGAGTAGATTTTCCTGGTCGCAACAAGCGCCAGGCCTTTCACTCGATGATATAAAGACTCAAGCTGCGCTTTGGCCTTTGGCCGTCAAGCTTTGTATCGCGCCGCTGGGTAAGATTTGGAAAAAACGTGGCGTTAGTACTTGTGAGCCTGTGCGGGAACTCCTGTAAGAATCTGAAGCAAGCCTTTACTGGATTGCCCTTGACAAGCAAGACACTGTTCTCGAAGCAGGTTTCAGGCAGGTGGTTTGACCTCGACAGGGAAAGACTCGTCCAAAAAACCTCAAGAGCAATTGTTGCAAATGATCGCAGCCCTGTTTTGTTTCATGATCGTCCGCCAGTAGCCAGATTCGATGCACTTAGGCAATGGCACGGGAATCTCAGTCGGTCTGTTGTAGGCATTAAGAACGAGGAGGGCTGCCAGGGAGCTGAAGCTAGACCCCTTTGAATAAGAATTCTAAAAGGTTTTTGGGGCTTCAAACTGACTTTGCGCCATCGGGGCGCCAACTGTACAGGTAAGCTTGCAGACCTGTCATGCGCATATGCATGACAATTTCTTGGTCAGATGGGTGGTACTCTAGAGCTTTGTGCCCGCAATAACGAGTCAGTAACACACAAGCAGCGCCGACTGTGTAGGTTTCAGGGGCAAGAAAGCAAGGCAACAGTCAAACCCATGGTGCCAGATTCGGCCATTCGAGGTTTCACTATTTCAACCACGAGCTCCCCTCAGTCCTAGACTATGTTCTAGGGACAAATTGCACCACCCGACTGCACTCACTCTCCTCAATCAGCCGCAATCAGGGCTGACACTGAGCTATACTGGGTTTCGCCTATGGATGCTGGAGAATCGAGTTGCGACTCTGCAGATTTCAAGCAACGGCCCAGAAACCTCACCAAGATGATCTCGCCGGTCGAGGCAGGGGGGACAGTTTCACCATCGGCTGCTCAAGCTTTGGAGAAGCATGTATCTGGCCCTTTGTCGATTTTGTGAATGTCCCGTTCTGCCTGGTGTCCCCTCTATGTGTTGCGAGCCCGGCCACTCCCTTCCGACCTAGGGTTGAGGATTGAAATTCTGTTAACAAAAGAAAACAGAAGATTTTGAGTCGTCTTCTTGGGACATGCGAAGTTGCAATGCATGTTCCGCTTTTATTTGTGCTACGTTAACACTCTTCTGTCCAACACTTTAAAATCTGGAACCCTCCAACATGATCAAAGATGCAGTGCGAGTTGGGATATGAACTTGACAACATAAGGGGAGCATGCCAGCACAAACGAACGCAGAAACACAAACTCGATGTAACACTTCCTTAAATACATCGAGACACTGCTAGCCTCCGCATACTGTGGGTTCTCTTGGAGAGTTCACCTCAGATGCTGTGAAAAAGTATCTCGATAGAGGTCTCTTCCTTATGCAAACGGCCATCAGGAGTTTGGTCAATTGGACACGTCCTTTTGGGGTTGAATTTTCGTTGCCCATAATGAGATCTCTTCACCTCTTCGACTGAACCTACAACAGATTGCGATTTGAGCCCGAACTATGCACAGTCTCACCTTCGCCACACTGTTCCCAAATGCCATTGTTGGTTCTTCATTTGTTGAACCACCAGCTTTCCGCTTACGGCCAACCTCTCTGTTTCCAATTTTCTTGGCCCTCAGCATTTGCCGCCTACAAAGCAGTACTCAGGTTATCATCTTGCGTTAAGGATTGAGCGGAGGCCCAGCTCACCAACCACCAAACATGCAGCTCTTGAAAGTCTTAGAGTCACCTTCAAAGCGGAAAGAAGGCACGAAGCAGGGGAGGACCTTTGGTGTCTAAAGCACGAAGGTTGAATTGACTCAGTGACAGTCATCTTTAGTATGCCATAATTTAATGGACGAGAGGCGTCTTGCATGCACGAAATCATAGTTGTTGTGGACCAGCTCTAGAAGCTGCCAAATGCTCAAATAAAGCAGCGACGCCTCCCTTAGAAGCATTGAAACGGCCAAAAGTATTTCTACACTCAAAACTCTGCACATGAGACCCGAAGAAGTATGCACTGAGGCAGAGAGCACACTGCAGTCTAAGGTGGCAGGAGTGCAGGTCTCAGTATATTTTGAAAGTGGAATGTGTCCAAATGCATTCTAGCAAGAGAAAGTCTGAGTCACCTGGATGTTGTATGATTGTCTATTCAGCTCCTGCTCCAGCTCAATGCCTCTGGACTGTCTGGAGCTGCAGAACTGGCCTCCAATGACTCAAGTATGACTGCACTTCGCAAACCAATCACAGCAGCTCCCTCCGTCTCGCTGGCCTTATGACCAGAAGAGCAAATGCGTAAGTTGCCATTTTATATTTGGTTGCAACGCATCAGCATTTGCGGAAAACAGCGACCAATCGAGATCACATGGCCAACATATTGAGAGAGTTTACAGCCAGGCTGGCAATGCTGAAAGTGCTGCGCCACCAATTGTGCAGCAGGACAGTCACTTCAGCGCCCCCAATCTGATTTCATGTGCAACACTTTCTAAGAACTCCTTGCATTCTCTGCAGCGGACCAGCGTGAATGAAACGTGCTTCGAAGGAGAGCCAAGGTAGCAGCTGCCATATTCACCCGACGGCTGCGTTAGAGAAAGTCGACTTCTTCTAACGTGGGGGACAGCGTACGCCGGGGAAAATGTTTTGACAGCTTGCTGGACATTTCCGCCCTCGGGAGGCACTTCCGAGCAACTTCGACGACAGGGTGTATTTCAGCCGTATTCACCCAGTGCCGCGTCACAATCCGGAATCCGCGAACCAAATCTCCGGTTTCCTGTTTCAAGTTTCTAGAACGACCGGGGGACTAATTGCCGGGGTCATTTGACTGATCTTCATTAGGTAAGCCGAGCTCCCAGGAAGCGTTCCGGTTGCACGTCCTTCAGCCGGTATCGGCCTTCAGCCGTATTCTCCCGGCATGCGGAAAATGCAATCTAGAATCCGAATGCCCCTTCTCTCGGCAACGTTCTCCCGGGCAGGAATTTACCAAGACGACCAGATGTAAGGGTGCCCGGTAGTATCTTACCCGTTAGAAAATCAGAGCAACGCGGAGCTGTCGATTGTGGACTATCGACGGCATACATCGAGCGGGATCGTTCTTCGACTTCAGCCGTATTCTCCCGACGTTTCATTGCGACACGGGAGCTTCCTCGGACAACATTCACCGGGAAGACCGAAAATGGGGCGTTTGCGAGCAATAGGATCCGGTAGTAAGCCCGGGAGGACTGCCTCCCGACCTGATTTTGAACGGTACTGGCCGTCGATGACGTTCTAAAGACGTTCTATGAACGGTCAAGATGCTCCAACGAAGCTGGTGACGTGGGCAATGCGAACCAGGTTGGCTTCATTTGCGAACACGTGGACCCATATGACCCTCCAATGCTGAGCGCAGGGAGTTCAAGTTCTGCCCAGATTGCAACAATGGCGGTCTTCCTTCAACTTCTTCAAGTTCATTCTCAAGATGCAACTGTGGAGATACCTGTAGTAGGCAGCAGCATTCAAACCATCACTATCAGCAGAATCTCGTTTTCTAGAACACCATTTGCGTTGCATTAGAGACGGCATCTGGGGCGTATTTGAACAGACGTTCGAAAAGCGGCAACGAAGTGCTTAGATCCGCACTGCAGATCTCTACCGGTTCTTGATAGATTAGCTCACGGTCTTGAGTCTTTGAAAAGTCGCAGATTCAAAGATGGTGTCGACAATAGAGCCGAGCTCCCAAAATGGGCACGGTCCAGAGTCACAAAACCGGGCCGAGGTGCCAGCAGTAGAGATCAACAACCTGCATTTCACATACCCGGGTCTAGATGGACAGCCCCCTCCCGGAATGCCCCCTCTGATCCAGGATTTCAGCATGACGCTCCAAGCCGGCAGCCGGTGTCTGCTGATCGGAGCGAACGGGGCTGGTAAGTGGGATCACTGAATGCTCAGCAATCTCCAAGATGTTGATCAAGATGAGAGGAAACCTACAGACAAATGGCAAGAAGTCTTATGCATTATACACTGGTGTAGCTCTGAAGTGAGGTCCATGAAAACACGACACACTGAGAGCTCTTGATGGCGAAGTCTGTCTAACTGCTGATAGTGGACCGTTAATGCATATTCAAATGCTTCATCGCTCGCGCTCGAGATCACTTACTACTACTTACTACCACATACTACTTGCACCGCTGTAAAAAGTAGTGATAACGTATCAAGGTGACTTTCTAGCCATTGGCATTGCGTGTGGTGTGTCAGTGCTTTGATAAGCTATCGATCGGAGTCCTTTTGGGGACTGTCTGGCATGATACTGGATCTAAGAATATTGGGCCTCTTGCAAGGTTAGAATGAGTCCTAGTGTGGGACCATCCAAAGTGATCTTACGCCCGTCTTGCACCACCTTTCCATCAAGCCCCTTCAGGCTTGAACGAGGCCTGTGGTCAGCAGCGATTGCCTGTCCGAGTCTGTTCGTATTGGTTGTTCCCTACCTGTTGTTGTGGAGCACTACAGAGAAGCCCAAAAGTGGAACACAGTATCACGAAATCTGGTGCTCTAGAGCATGTTTTCTTCACTCGGCATCCTGCACTGTCCGCCTGAGAGGATCGCCAAGCTTCTTCTTCCTCCGGCCCTTACTTGTCCTGCCAGACGCTCTACGTACATCATCAGGAATGATTCTTCTGCTGTTTCCAATGATGTTCTCTGCCCTGGCTTACAGGCAAGACGACGCTTCTCAAAATCCTCGGCGGAAAGCACATGGTAGACCCTTCGATGGTGCGGGTGTTGGGACGCTCAGCATTCCATGACACAACTCTGGAGTCAAGCGGGGAGCTTTCTTACTTGGGAGGAGAGGTAAGCGCAACGCTTACGTTATCTGGTGTTGGCTTCCAGCCGGATGCTCTTCACTTGTGTCGACCTTTTGGAGTTGTCAGTGTCACAGGGATCACAGTTTGTCGGCTTATGCCGACCCCTGCATCTACAGAACGATTGAAGAGGAAGCATCCTCAGGGGTCTTTGAAGGCGTTTCAAGGCGATTGCGGTACTAAAGCAGCTAAGGGGGTGTGGAGCTCTAATGGCTAAGTGACAGCTCCCCCCCTCGGGATGCGGTCTGTGGTAGCTGCCGCCAAGATATCTACTCTATCAATGACCATCACAATAGCTTGCACACAGGGAATGTTGTTTAGAAGGAAAACGATTACTTTGATCCTGCACTCGTCGTTCTTTCCGCTGGCCCTGCTTCACTGCCTTTTAATGGATAATCCTTTCAAATTGATTATCAGGTGCAGACAACATGTGTGCAGCTTCAGTTGATTTGTCTTGCCGATTGACGGATATTCTTTCGCGCATTTCCTTTTAGTGGAGGAGGGACGTCGCTTTCGCGGGCTTTGATGTGCCAATTCAAATGGACGTCAGTGCACGGAAGATGATTTTTGGGGTACAGGCAGACCCTGCAAGGCGGGATCGATTGATCAAGGTGAGTTGTCTGAAATCCTGTAGTTTGCAAGTTTTTTGTGATGTCCCAATATCGCCAAAAGAAGTGGCCGACATGTAGGGGGTTGAGGTAGGCGCTGCAAGGGTCCCTGCTTATTGAGCTGCCAGCAGACAAAAGCCTGAGGAGACAGGGGAAGCTGCAACCGATAGGTTTTTTCAAGTTGTTGATGGAGTGTTAGAACGACAATCTGTGTGCGCGAGTTTGATCATCTTAGAAGAAGCAATGGTTCCTCTCGTTTGACAGAAGACCGAGAAGGATTCAGGAGCAGAGTTGTAGCATGTCCTCAAAGAAAACATGGACACACCAGGCATAACACCGCACAAGATAAATATCCTTCAGACACCGCGGATTGCTTCATCATTGTGGAAAAAGCTGCAACTAGCTGACTATGAATCATAGTTGGCAGTTGACCATGAACCCTTGGATTTACCCCAACCATCATACCGCCTCTCATGATTTGAACCCCCATAATAGGAGCTCCTTCAAGTCGTCGAAGGGACTCGACACAAGTTACCTTGTGATTCACCATATTGCCCGGCTTCTGGTCACATGACGTAATAACGTTCTTTTCCAGGTTCTGGACATCGACCTGGATTGGAGGTTACACACAGTGTCGGACGGGCAGCGGCGGAGGGTCCAGATCTGCATGGGTCTGCTCAAGCCGTTCAAGGTCAGTGTCATGATTCGGGCCAGACTTGGACCCCTTACAACAAAGAAAACGTGTAATTGTCGACGGGATGTTTCGATACAACTCCAAAAGGCTGGGACTACAGAATATTGTCGAAACTCGTGAGATTCGCACCTACCAAATTGCGGATTGGCGCTGCAACATGTTGACCTTGCATTTGACAGGTTCAAGGGGAGAGTCCTCCGTTTCTAGTCTCTCTTTGTTCCGAGCGCGAGAACCGCAGACGGTCTGCCAATCAGGCATGAAGTGGTGCAAGATCCATTTTTTCGAGACTCGGATTGGGCCACTTGTCACCTGAGGTTTGGCAATATTGGACTGGAACTTTTCCTCTGGAGGGGAGACAACTGAGCTTCCGGCGACGCTTATGTCACTTGTGTCTTTTACACAAGGAGATCGGATTGCATTTTTTTTTTGGAGGCCCAGACATTTTGCGAGGAGTCAAAGGTAAACGACGGAGATGCGCTCAAAAACAATGATTTTGGCAATTTTGTTTAGGGCGAGTGTGTAACCAACCTTTTCTGTACTTGCAGAGGTCGCGTCTGATTCGTCGTTTGTAACGAGCTTGTCATTAACTTCGATCAAGCCCTTGTGTCATGGTCCAGATAATAAAAATCAAAAAAATCACCCCGACTGGGTGGGTTGCCGAGGATATAAGCCTCTGCACCGGACATACTTTTGGTGGTCCCCATCCGGAGTGCTACTGTTGGATGACGTCACAAAAGTGTCAGACGTGTCAGCGTGGACTTCTCAGATCCTGGTTGCAGGACAAAACCACCGTGGAACAGCACAGTGTCACCGTTCATCGTTTGCCAGGAGGTTCTTTGGAAAGAACGACGTCAACAGACCGTCACTGTGCTCCAACAATGCTGATTGAGAACTACCAATTGATCTTTCCTAGGTGTTGCTACTGGACGAGATCACGGTGGATTTGGACGTCCTGGCGAGGGCGGACCTGCTGACGTTCCTGGTGTCCGAATGCGCGGAGCGGGGGGCGACCATCATTTACGCCACGCACATATTCGACGGCCTCGACAAGTGGGCCACGCACATCGTGAGTTGAATCTTGATCTCTCTTGTCGGAGCTGTTCAGATTTTCCATCTGGAAAAAGGCGTCGTGCGCAATGTGGTTGATCCGAGTAGCGGGCGTGCGGAAGAGGGAATAGTGCTAATGCGACTTGCTCGGGTTAAAGCGACGGGGTTCCAAGCTTTATCTGTCGCTATAAATGCCGGTGGACGTAAGCGAAAGGAGCATTGAAACACGGCCACAAGAGTCGGCGTGCAGCCATCGTAAATTCGGCCTACTCCTTCACAATCGATTGTGATGTCATTGGAAAGTTCGGAAGGACCACGCACTTGATTGTGGATTTACATTGGTTGGCAACGAGCATGATGAAACAATCCGATTCGACTGTACACCAGCGGCCACCCGACTCTGCATCGCGTGTGGGCTGTCTTATGAGCTTCCCAAGCGATCCCAGTTGCTATCAACATGATTGGCTTGTTCTTCATTTGTTTCTCTCGCACTCTGGTGGGCCAAGCTGATGTTTTTTTTTCCCGTAGACAGAGCTGGTGAATTGCTGACTTTGCCTTCTGTTTGATACTCCGCCTTTCTGCTCCATTTGGAACAGAGAGCTTCGGTGATTCGTCATCCGTTGCGAATCACGAGCATTACGAGCATGGATTTTGAGTCCAGAAGTCAAGACTTTCGCTCGCATCATATCCCGGGTTTGGACGACACTGACCGCTTTTTTCCTTCGGTCTCGTTGCCACAGTCGTACGTCGCCCAGGGGACCCTCCAGCTGTTTGAACCGGCGGAAGCCATCCCCGAGCTGAAAGAGATGTCGCTTATGGTGAGACTGCCCACCTTCCGTTTCCGTTCCATCTTTTCTCGTATGTTTTGCACCGGAAAAGCGTTCCGGTCCTAAGGGACGGCTGTTCGAGCTGGTGGAGGCGATCCCCGAGCTCAAAGAGATGTCGCTGCTCGTAGTGAGACATCTGCACCGTCCACCTTTTCCGTCCGCTTTCCGGGAAGATCTGCACCAAAAATGTGTTTCATTTGTGGTTCGGAATAGCAAAGAGCAACGTCGTGCCTAGAGAGGGAATTGGGTGCTCGAACCGAGCGAATCAGGCGAGCTCAACTGCGCTCGCTTTAAGGCTCTGGATGCATCCTGTGCGGTGTGTCTCAAACTTAATGTTTTTTTGACTTGCGCCACAGTGAACGCGTTCTGCCATTCCGTTAGTCGAAAAGTGCGCACAGCGAGATTTGTCTAAACAGACTGCTGACCCATTCCGGTGTCACACCGGCCCACCATATTTTGTTACACGTTGTCATCTGCGTGGCCGCATCTCCAACCATTCGGACGCCCTTAGCCAGTTCGGACGCCCCTTGGATGTTTCGGGACGCCGTGCACCCGTCCGAAATATTGTCAATTCGTTTAGACACTATTGAAGCCATTTGGACGCCTTCAGTCTCGTTCGGACGCGTGTAAAGGAAAACGCTTTCTGGACGCGCGTAAAGCCGGTTCGATGCCCCCAACCCAATCGGACGTCCTTAAGTGTTTGGAAGCCCGTTCGGACGGCCTTAACGCGCTCGGACGCCTTCAGAACTCGTGTGGCGCACATTAACCCGTTTCGGACGCCCTTTCTCCTGCAGCGGACGGTCGAGAAGTGGTTGCGCGCGGACCAGGCGCTTGTGAAGGCCGCCCGGAAGCGTCAAAAGGAGGAGGCCGACAAGCGGCCGGCCGCGATGCTTATGAACAACGGCTGGGCGGGGGGGCGGCTCACGAGCACTGTGGCGCTGCCCCATAGCAGCAACCGGGTGCTGCGATAGCTTAAAGGTTGGCAGCACGGTATTGAAGGTGACAAGGTGATTTGTTGGTGGATAGTGAAGGGTGACACCGCCGCAAATTGATAGCTCGAGTCGAAGACAAGAAAGGGAAAGGGGCTGCTAAGCAGGAATTTTACTTGAAAAGAAGGCCCGTTCATGGGAATTGTCAGGGGGAAGTTTTAGGGTAAAGACTGAACCGGCGAACGATAAAAATCCAGTAAGTCGAAAATCCAGTAGGTCGCTCACGCCGTACAATCCTTGTACAGCGTCAAGGCCGGACACAGTCGCTGGTTCGGCGGGGGTAGCATCCGACGGCTGCTGAGGTTTGCAAAAGTTGTTCTTTAAGCCTTGGTCCCTCGCAGTCGGATCGGATTCAACTCACAAAAGTGTAGCCATATCGAAAGGTACCTAACTCATTAATCAGGTAATAGCATGACGCCTCGAAAAAAAGTTTCTCCAGAACCACTTTTTCAATCGAGTTGAGACCAGGCTTCATAACATTGTCCCGGGCTCGACTCAGAATCCTACTTGCAATGGAGGAGCACGTGAATATGATTCAAGATTTGAGCAGGCTCATGATTCAGTGCATGACGGTCTCAGACGCCAGGCTGGTCTGACCATGCATGGCATCATCCTTCATTCATGTTAACTTCAAACCTGCGAACCCGGCCTTGATCAGATCCGATCTGGTGATGCCGGTAGGCGATAGGCGCCTGGATGCTGAGCGCTGGCCCGCGCCCGAAGCAATAAACAATCATGTACTAATATTGCCATGAGCGTTCGATTGAATGATCTGATCATTGTCAGTCACTGAGATTGCATAAGTTCGCTGACTCGTGATGAAGCATATGCCAAGGCACTCACTAAATGATCATGAGTCCAATTGCAAGGCGCTAGTTGGCCCGCTGGGGGGCAGCTCACATTAGTACTAAATCCACTCGGGCACTGAGGCCGCGCCGTGCGGCACCGTTTGATCGCGGCGGGCCTCCTTACTACGGTAGCTCGGACGCACAAACTAGGATTTATGGGAATCTAACATGTGCCATACTACGGTCCGCTCATCAGTGCAGCCCGTAATACCAGCCGCCGCGCTTGACGCCGCACTGATCTTTTCGAAGTTTCATTCAAAGCATAATACGCGACGAGCTGCCGCGTTCCATTAAAGCGGTCACGGGTTCCCGAGCTTGATTCAGATCAGTATGCCGGGAGCATAGGGGTTTCTCTGCATAAAATGCCGGGCTCGTGCACTGACATTCGAAACAAGAGGGCCCGTATACACTTCTGATTTGCCAGTTGAGAATCGTGAAACAGCGCTAGATTGCAATAGATCCGGCAAAATGCGAAATCATCATTGACTGGCTTTCTGTCGATATCAAAGTATTGTTGATGCGCCTATTGCAAATATACCGCATCCCTCGCAGTCACTAGGCTAGGTCAGACAGAGTGATCCTGGACGTATTCTCCGTAGTAGGTACGCCGGTTCTGATCGACGCCTGCGCAAAAGCAAATATGCAAGGTGATCTTCGATAATCGTTCAGCGGGCTGATTACTGAATGCGGAATCCTGCAGTAGTCATAAGATAGTCACTTGATGCTCCACATATGCAGAATGAGAGTCGCTCACATACGCAATTCCTGCATGAGTCTGTGCTGCAAAAGAAACACCGTATTCCACTCTGACGCAATCTGAGTGCCTCAGTAAACTTGAACAATTAGCAGTGGGCCAGTCTTCCAAGCCGCGCGCCGTTGCACTGGTCTCGAGCAAAAAGGGGGGGGACCCAAAAGCGAAGGTCGGTGGTCGGTTTCGACAAGCGTCGAACCGACGTGGTTTTGCTCCGCACGGGAGATCCCATGCAAATGCCCCGAAGGGCGGTCAGCCAGAAGGCCAACGGCGAGTTTTGTATTGCTACACCGATAGACTAGTTTGCTACTCACATAATTATTCAATCCTTCGATCTCTGGTGACGTCACCGACCGGGCTGACAACTTACCGGACTTTTCGTTCCTTCCGTTTTTGATGCTGCCAACGCGCATTCGGTATGTCTAGGGAGAATACGGTACTCCAAAACTTTCAGAACAGTCCCAGCAGGAAAAGATCAGCACAGAAAAAGGAACAGTCCGCAACATTCAAGACTCAGCGACGTGTCGAATTTTTGCGCGCCAGGGTTTGTTTAGAGCGCCTAGCCCCTATGAAATCCGTGTGAGGGAGGGCCGCTGTGTCAATCTGTCTAAGGGACTTTTAATCAAGATACCCAAGAGTGACGCATCGATCTGGCGGGCAGCCATAAGGGGAGAATTTTCTGCACAAGAGACGACGCTTGATAAAGGTATGGCGTCAGTTTTTGTTCATGGTTTGAATTACCGCGAGTTGTGATCTTTCATGAGCAAGAGAGGTTTGTCAATATGCTGCGAGAAGACTCTGTCTAAAAGGAGCTGACTGTATTTGATCAAGCTTTCTTCGAGCCATGGCTTTGTCGGACGTTTTCTTGTTCGGACTTTTTTGTTCAAAGAGCTGTTGCAGAACTAACACTGTCGCCTTCTTTTGCTGGAAGAAGCCGTGCGAGAGAAGACGTTGAATAGAATAGCTCATGAACACAATCATCGCGCGGTGGCGTCCCCTTACTGCTGAACCATTCATTCAGGTTGGACGTGAAAAACGTGAAGGTAGCGGAGTCTAGAGAATCGCCGAACATCAAATTCTTGTTGGTATGTTCAGCAATCAAAGCAGGGAGTAACCCAGTTTTGGGTCAGATCCTTCAACTCCGTAAGAACACACGATTGGGTCATGAAGTTTGTTTGAGCTTTTTCAGTCCGCGGATATCAGGCTCTCTCGGCCTTGATTGACTGGAACTTTCTTAGATACAACGGAGCATGCGTTTCGAAGCGTGACGTTTTGTTGATCAGTGCTGATTCGAAGGACGCTTGAAAGCTGACGCTGAATAGATCCGGATACATTGATTGTTGCCCCAGCTGCTATCCAGTGCTGCCGTCACGCCTTTTGGGGGTTTACGTCACGAAGTGGAAACTCGCATAATCTGCTCTAAGAATGATCAGTTGTATTCCGTGTGGTAGACGTTGTGGGCGCGTATATCACTCGCCCTTTAATTCCTTCCTTTTTATTCAACGTCTAAGAACCCAAAGGGAGCGGATGCCCGTCTCGTTAGAGGCCTCCCTTTGTATTTAGTGGCGACGCAATTGAGTCTCATTCGAGGTGAATCCGTGCTTCGCAATTTTTTGGCTTTCACACCCGAGCGATTTCCTCGTGTGCATAATCAAGCGCGCCGTGGATCTTCTCATCATCTTCGCCGGTCCCCCTCCAAAGCTGGTGTCTTGCTGTGCAGGGTCTTTGAGCCATTCTTGCAGCGCCACGCGGCAGCAATGGGCCTCTTCGCTTCAATCTTCCACTGCCGCTGCTTCGAGTCGGCCTCCTCGAAGCGCGCGGCCGCGCCCGCTGCGACCGCCCTGCCAGCTGGCAGAGATGCGCGCGAGCAGAGGCGCGCAGAGCTGGCCGCGACCGGAGCCGCCAACGCGATGGCCGAGAGTGACCTTCCGGAGGGCGCTGAAAAGTGAGTCCGCTTCCGGTTCCGGTCCCGCTCTTCCGTCTTCCTTCTGAGGTGCTTTGTGCGTGAGAGCGGCCGACAGCGACCTTCCCAAAGGGGCGGAAGAGTAAGAAGCCGTTTCCGACCTTTTACTTACACTGAAAAGAGGATGAAGCAGCAAACGCGGGCGGCAGAAAGCCTTTGACTCATCGATTTTCACCTCTCAACTGCTTAGATCCTGGTAAGGAGTTACAAGGACCTTAGAACGGATGATCCGCGCAATCGCCCCATTGCACCTGGTTCCGGACCACTTTGATGACTCGTCATCTCTTTCCCTTGGTCTTACTTTTTTCCGTTCCAGCTTTCTTTCCTAGCGCAACTGCTGTATTGAATGCCGCAAAGGGCGGCAGTTGTTAGAATCTGCAACTCGTCGATGGTATCAAGCTCAACTTCCGTCGCGCTTCAAACATCTAGAGTACCAAGCGAAACACTTGTGGTAATAGAAAGACGTACAGGAATTTCTCTTATGCAGGTTAAGTGCTCCAGTCCACGATGCACAGGAGACGCACAAGGGCGACGAAGACTACATGGGCGAGTACGGTGCTTCCGTCAGACAATTCCCGTCGCCGGACCACGATGAGAAAAAGATGGCCAAGTATGGGGCGAGGGCGGAAGAGCCGTCAGAAGAGGCGCGCTTCGTCGGCGCTTAACAACTGGCCTGCTGCATTGGGAAACACGTTTCTTGAAGTGCCCACTTAGTTCATACGTGCTCTATGATCGCCCACATGCCAAGTTCCTCAACAATGTGCTACTCCTCCTCTTCGAATCGGTAGTCGTGTCAGCTGCCTCCTCTTCACTGACTCGAACGAGTCTGATCGCAAATGGATACGGCAAATGGATACCAAACACTGTTTGTTCGCGATTTGAATTCAGCAAATACGAAAAAGTGGAACTACGAAACCCCCTTGGCAAAATCTGATGCGCGTTCTGTCTGAATGACTTCGCAAACATGCGCAGAGATTCAACTTTGGAGAATCAATGTTCGTAATCGGATGTCGGACGGCCAACGTTCAGGAAACCTGCACCAGATACGCGCCACGTTCGCACCATGCTGACATCAGCACAACGGCCATTAAGGACGTAGCCAAACGCACGTAATCCTCGAGTGGCAGTCTCGCTACACTAGCTGCAGAACTGCTGCGAAAGAGTCAGGTCTACACGACCCCTCTGGTCTTTAAAGCATGAGACCTGTCGTGCGAAAGCGTCAAACGGAGTGAGAGTCCTGGAGTCTCGCAATGCTCGCGAGAGAGTTGATGATTCTCCTCACCTGTGCTCTGGCTACGACGTTGACGATCGACACCTATTTGTCTCGCGAAGGTTCTTTCAATTCCGCGTTCATGCAGACTAGTAAGATTACTGCGCAGAATCCACCTGATAACGTGCGTGTGGCCTTGAGACTCGATCACCGGCATTGACCAAGCGCCGACCGTCAGCGGCGCACGCATGCACGCGTCTTCCAATCGCTTCAACGATTACGTGTGACTTTCGATATGAAGTGCGTGTGCTGACCTTCGTTACTTCTTTATACTATGATATTGAACGTTGTCTAAGATGGTCCGAATTTGATCCAAGCCCTTCTGGCCAATCCGGCCGAAGCGAGTACGTCCGAAAGGTTCGCACTCACTGAGCCTCGGAGTTCGAACACGAGATATGCATGGCTGAGAACGTATACTGAAGCCGATACGGTCCGAATCAAGTTCTTCGGAACCTGATCCGGCCTGGGCAGCCGATTGATAACGTCGTTCTTGGTCAACATGTACATGCTTAGACAGCAAAGAGATTGAAAGCAAGGATGACAGGCCGATGGTGAATAGGTGATTAAGTGCAAAGCAGAGTTCCGCAAGCTTCGGGCCGAACTTTGCCACGTACACGATACAACGTGCGGGCCTGCGTTTTCATCGGAAGAATCGCATTTAGCATGGCATGCATGCCAGATTCAAGTTGGGGCGCATGAGAAGCGCGGCCGCATTGACGTACATGCATATGGAGCTAGCTTGAGATTAGAGTCATTGAACATGCCACAATATAGCGTTCAAGGCTCTCGCAAGAAAAAGCCGCAGTCCGCAGAAAGCGGCGGCATAAATCCTTGAAGCATATTGGTTCTTGCAGTCCGACGGTGTATCATGTACTGATTAGCATTTTGAGAACTTTCGTCGATATGAACCCACCTGACCAAAACTGAAACCGTATACCGTGCGCAAAGGTACACAATTCATGGCGGCTACTTGCGAAGCTGGCGAGAGTTTCCTTGATACTATACACTATACACTATACACTATACTATAGAAAGTTCTCGATTGACGGCCTCTATCTGTCTCGTAGTTGCTTGGTATGAGCAGACGTTGATTGCAAATGCAGTGAATGCAGTCATGACACTAATTAAGTGATCGATCGAAAGAAGTTGAACCTTGATGTTTCCCCCATCTTCTAGAAATACGAACGTTGTTGGACATTCTATTAGGACGTTTGTCTTGCAGCCATTTCATCGTGCTCCACTCTTACTTTTGACTAGCATGCAAGAATCAAATGAGGCCCTTTACTACTGTGTACAATATTACCTCGTTTGACGAATAGCTTGTGGAGCTTGCAACCTTTGATGCAACCTTCGATCCCACAAAGCTCTTTTCAGGCAATTTGCAATCTTGCCAGACTCCCAGCAGTAACACCCTTCCTCGCCCTCAAAGCGTTCCAACTCTGCCTGAGCGAAGAGCTGCGCAATACGGAAAAAACACTGCTTCACTCTCGTGATTGGAAAGGTTGTATCACATCCACTTGTGAAAAGTTACTCATACCAAACTGTGGAGGTGATGTCAGCACCAGCCTCCCGGTAAGAAGATCTGCAAAGCAAAGGTGACCAAACCCTCCTTTTTTTTGGAAAGCTGCTCGTGCTGTATCACTCAATTGGTAGAAGAACACGCAAGGCTCTTAGGTCCTGGTTCCAAGCAGATGCACACGGGGTAATGGCAGAACTACCAGTCTGTTCATAGCAAAGCATCCATCGCGCTTCGTTTGAGCAGCGTACATGACACGACAATCAGAGGGTTAAAACAAAATCCTTTGTCCCTCGATAGCCCTCCGCAAGCTACATAAGATCGCGTGAACAAACCGGTTACCCGGTTACAATGAGCCGAAGCGCTCACCTCGGAGATCCCTTTGTAGATCAGCCATCAACTCGTGCAGTTCTCCAAGTCTGTGTTCAACACTAGCGTTCGAGCCTGCAAAACAGGACTCCAAGTTGATACGAGACCCCTACTCCAAGTAGCCAAACGAGGGGACACATACTGGGTCACATTTGACAAAATCCCCAAAGATGAACTCGTAACGGAGAAGTGGAACGGTCCCCTTCCCTGCTCCTGGACTTCCGCACATGTCAATTGACAACTGACTGAAGAAGGATACAATTCTTGCGCTGGTTCGCCTTCCGCGAGAACGACTCAGTCTACGGCGCCACAAAAGCTCTGCTGAGGAAGATTCAAAGGAGAAGAGTAGTAGTGGAAGCAGACCGTGCAAAAGGCTCCCAGAAAACCAAGGAGTTTAACCTTACAGTAGGATAGAAAACAGCCTTTTTACCTCTGGCACCCGTATCGAAGAGAAGATTAAGACTGATTCGACCCTTAATACCACGAACCGCTCGACAACAGCCACTGGACGCTAGTCTTAGAACCGCATCAGCTGAAACTTTCCAATCGACAGTCCACGTAGGTCCTCCGTGCAATAACAGAGCGCAAGACCATGGGCGATAGCCAAGCAGATTGTGACAAAAAGTACAACGCTTTCTAAGCAAAGGTCAGACCAAAATCCTATCGAGAGAGGTACAAAATTGCGTGTAAGAACGTCGTTCATACCTGGTCGTATCGGTAATGTGGCCGCGCCTGCAAGATAGATGTGGTCCCCATCCCGCAACAGGCTGACGTCACGGATCTCTGCACCGCTCTCATCAAGTAGCCGCGTGGCAGTGTAACCAAACTCGGTCTCTGCAAGAAGCAATTTGGTTGTTAGTCAACCAGCCAAGCGTAACCAAACTCTTTCCCGGCGAGAAGAATATTTATTACTTAACCAGCTCAGCGACACCAAACTCGGTCTCCACAAGAAGCAGTTGAGTCAACCAGCTCAGCGTAACCCAACTCGGTCTCTGCGAGAGGCATTCGGTTGTTAGCAACTAGCTCAGTGTAACCAAACTCGGTCTCTCCGAGAAGCAAACGGTTGTCAGCCAGCGAGCTCTTCAGAAGGAGGACTTCGATGAATTTGACTCCCAAGCCTCCAAGGTGGTCAAGCAGAAAAGAGACGCAGGTTTCGTGATACAAATGTGAGAAAACCCTTCGACACAGTTTCGAAACATTCCGGCTTCGCAATCCAGGACTGCACCTTAAAGTTTCGTCACGAACCCTTGAATCGAATCCTCAGTGCACACTGCAACAACGTCGAAAATCAGAGGCTCCATTCGCTGCAATTTAAAGAACTTGGAGATCCCGTCCCGTTCTTGCCGCTCTAAAGTAGAACTACGCAATGCATCTCTACGTCCATCATCTTTTTAAAAACGCGCCTCACCTCCGTCCTTTCTTCCCACCATAAATATAACTACGCAATGCACCTTTAAGTCCATGTGACAGCTTTGAAAGGGGGCTCACCTGCAACTCGAAGCAAGTCGTTTCTCGTCCCCTCAAGAGCCAAAACCAACCCGCCCCCCAACGCTCTTCCCTCGGGCGCTTCCAACGGGTGCACGACCACCCGCCTGGCTTCCGCTCTACTCTGGGCTTTGTTCCGCGCCTGGTGTGCGGCCTTCAGCAACGGAAGCACTTCCCCGGAACGCTTCTCTTCGCTCTCTTTCTCTCGGTACCGGCTTGGGACGTCCGAATCGGACCTCAACGAGAGCTGCGGACTGGACAGCGGCGTCCGGTGGAGCCCGGGGGACGGCAGTGGCGGAGTGCAGCTCCGAGAGACAGGTGGCGGCGTCCGGATGGTTAGCCCGAACGGCTCAGTTCGGGGCGGCGGTTCGCTAGCAACTGAGGCTTGGGACGGGAGAGACGTGGTTACTGGTGGGTTTATAAGGAGCGTCGGAGGCAGTTGGAAGGGGCGCACGGGAGTCGGGTGTACGAGGGGGGATTCGGGCTCTTTTAACTCTTCTGTCGTCGAAGTCGGTATTTGCATCCGGCTATTGAGCGTGAGCTCCGAGTCCCAGTACGTTTCTGGCTCGAACGTTTGCTCGGCCTCGGGGTTTGGCACCGGGTTATCCCCTAACCGCCCATTACGAGCGTCGCTTCCGGGTACAGCCCCTTCCGACGGCTTTTCTGCCGCCAGACTGTCCGCATCGAGCGCCCGGCTCGTCCGTCCGTCCAGCGCAAAGATGCCCATTATCTCTTCCTGCGGGCTACCAGGCTGCGCGCTTTGAGCTGCCATATCTCGCATCGAGCCCACGTGGTTCAAGTGCGGGCCTTCGGAAGGGCTGTCCGTGTTGCGAAGCCGCTCGAGTTCCTCGAGGGATGACACCACGTCGGTGCTGAATGCTCCGATGTGGCCCGAGGGAGTGGCGTCGAACTGGGCTCCGTGGCGTAAGAGTAGGTTTACGACCTCTTGATTGCCCTGCAAACAAATTGTGAAACTTGAGTCGCAGAACTGGTCCCCAACTGGTCCCCAAAACCGAATCAAATATCCCAAAGTTTGTAAAACCAGAACGGAACGGAATAGAACAGACCTGACAAAGCAGGCGCCCAATGGAATTAGAAGACCAGGGATCCATGTTCAGAATCAGCTCAAACCGGGAGTGTGAACCGGTTTTCATTTGGAACAGGCATTCCGTTCTAAGAGAGTTGTAGAGCCTCCAATTATCAAGACGCCTGCGTTGCGACGAGATGACGGCTTGTCCTTTTACCAAGCAGCTGCGAGGCCCCCAGTTCAAAATGTAATCTGCAGAAAACACCACCTCTGCTGAGCTCTCGGATACAGTAAGGACTAGCCACCTCAAATAGGCGGAGTCGAGGAGAGGTGAGCTGATGCACGACGTCAAAAGCAGAACTTGCGACGCCATACGTACCAAGGTGGCGGCGATCTGGAGCGGCGTCTTCCCGTCGAAATCGAAGCAGTTCGGGTCCGCTCCAAACGCCAGCAGCAGTGCCACGTTGCGTGCATTCCCGCTCGCCACGGCAGTGCAGAGGTCGTAGGACGCAACACGTGGAGTGACGTCAGCGCCATGCTCGCGGAGAAGCTCCGCAGTGGAGTGCTGACCTAAGCGGAGCGCTTCCGAAAGGGGCGAGGCGTCGAATTTGTCTGCGAGTAAGGAACGTTGGTGGAAAGATCTGAGTTGGGAAAGGGTATTCGCTTTCATTGGCCAGTACTCTGAATGCGGATTTGAGCAAACTCCATTGTTGCAGTGACGGTGCAAAACAGGTCGTGTAAAGATGACGTGGAAGATCGGACTACTGTTCGATATGAGACAATAAGACCTCGTCTCTGGCAACCTGATGTCAAGAACCAATACAATACTGCGCCAACGACAAAATCAGATTTGTAAAAGCTTGAGGAGGACACAAGAGTCAACCGCTCAAGACCCTCCCCGCCACAAAACATCCGACCGAATTGCCCAAACGCTGAACACAAATCAAGGCACACTACTCAGGTTGGCTGTAAAGCGCCCGATGTCAGTCAAGCAGCAGAAGACCCTCTGGGCATTCTGCAGAGTTCAGAACGCTCACCTCTGACATTCACGTCCGCCCCGTTGCTGATAAGAAAGCGAACGCAGTCATCGTAGCCCATCGCCGCAGCAACATGCTGCAAGAGAAGGAAGAACGGTCAATTCTCTCGTGCCATGAAGCAACAGAACCAGCGCCTGATTCATGATTTTCGAGAAGGTGATTCCCTTCCAGGGCAGAGTCAGTTAAAAAGTTTTAGAGAGACTGGTTTCAGTTCCCTTCCTCCATCAACGCGAGCAGCCTGCAAATCATTGTGCTTGCTAAAAGGGAATATTGGCCTTGCCCACCAATCCCCCAGACGCCTGCTTCTTTTTGCAGAATCTGCTCCTCGTTCCAGAACGTGCACTTCGCGGATCCAGTCATTTTAACCATGAAGTATCCCGCCTCAACTTCTGGCTTTTGCCTACGTAAGCTCCAAGACCTTTCATCAAGGCATCTTAAAGACAACAAGGTCAAAGTAAGCAGACCTCCAGAAAGCAAAGCACGAATCGGCAGGGAGTACAGCGAGATCAGCCAGGGACTCACAATTGGCCGCCTCCCATCAAAGTCGCCAGCGTTTGGGTCAATTCCGCTGAGCATGAGCTGTCGAACCGTTCGCAAATCCCCGGTTGCCGCTGCAGCACACAACTGGACCACCATCTCTTCTTCTTTCCTGGCGACCACTCTGGAGACTTCGTCGGCCAAATCGGTCAAGTGCTGGTCGTCCTCCGTTCTGATTGTCTGCAAGAAGGTTTGAGGGCGTTGGAAAGTTTGAAATTTTGAGAAATTTGGAATTTTCGGGTTGGTAGGTACGTCCCCAGTCGCCACTGCGGCGCACAACTGGACCAACAAGTCGTCCTCCGTTCTGATTGTTTGCAAAAGGTTCGAGGTTTCAGGGGGTTTGGAATTTATAGATATTTTGAGGTGTTCGGATTTTAGGTTTCTGTCCTCCGACACGCACCAAAACGCTAGACCACCATTTCCTCTCCTTCTTCGTCACCACTACGGAGATTCTTTTGGTCAACAAGCTCAAATGCTGGTCGTCTTGCGTTCTGATTGGACTGCAAGAAGGAAGACACATGCAATTGTTGTGCCAGCATCCCGTCGAATCTTGCGCAGAGCTTCCCGCTTGAGGACGATTGGCTTCCGACGTGTTAGTCGGCAATCTGAGCAGGCTGCAAATTAGTGTCACAAGCTTCTGACCGGCCTTCTACTATTATCGCCAAGCAATTGAAGGATTGAATATGAGTGTCGAGATGGTGACGAAACCCCGCTTCCAGACCCCAGCGATTGTGTAAGCAATCCCAACACGTCTTTGAGACTCAAAGCTTCCATCGGCTTACAGAAGACAAGAAAACTCTCCCCAACCAGTCCAACCAGAAAGTTCCGGAGCCTTTCAGAGTCTTCGACCTGAAACACGCAGCGGGCACCTGGCTTATCGTTCACCTTGTCCTTCACAAACTCAGGTCAAGGGTCCTCGAAATAAACTGCCGCTCCTTCCTGAAGCTTTCGAGGGACACTCGAGGGCCTCAGATGCAGAAAAGCTCACAAGGCATCCAGAACCCGGAGACTAATGAAGCTTCAGGCTTGCTTGACCCCTAAAACTCACAAAACCCCCTGAACTGGTTAAGCTGTAACCCCTTGATCCCTGGTTAAGCCGTTAATTTAAGCCCCCCTGAACTGGTCAAGCCGTAACCCCGTAATTCTCTAAAATTTCGTACCTTGAGCAGGTTGCTGGCCATCTGCTGTGCATCCTGCGGGAAGCTCTGTAACAGATCCTTGAACACCTGCCGCTTTACCGCAAGGACACGGCACAGCTGGATCGCCTTGCACGTGAACGGCTGCGGGATGCCGCACAGGAGCGCCACGTCACCCACGCTCTGGCCGGGCCGCCACAGGCCGATCGCGCGGGACGCGCCCATGTCAGCGACGGAAAGCTCCTGGAGATTGGACGGCATACGTTTTGAGCTCTTTGAGCTTTGCCAAAGCCCCGGAAAAGCTCCTGTATTTCGTAACCGCAGGCAGAAACACACGGTGTCCCTAATCAGGAATGTTGCATACGTGAGAAGTTCGTCCTAGCGAGTTTAATCACGGATGCCTGACTATTCCCCAGGCTCTTCGGCCTCCGAAATTGGCAAGCCCGTGGTCCGCTATTTTGATGTTTCCTGATCATCAGCGAACCCTGCCAAATCTTCTGGCTCTTGGGCCCGCCGACTTTGCTTAAGCCTGCCATCAGGGAAGCGTGACGGATCTTCTGGCTTTTCAGCCTCCTGAGTTTGCTGAAGCCTGCCTGCGCTTCCGCATCTCTTCCTGGAGGGTAGATTAAAGGCGCGCCACAAAGGCCTGGTGCCTCTGCGTGAATCTGCTTGTCTACAGAGTCGACCGGAGTGAGTTGCAAGGTTACACAACCTCAGCTTTGAAAGGACAATAGAAGAGCGTTTTCTAACCTCGGGAGACCTGCGGGAAAGAAGATGGAGCTCATCTTGTGTGTTGGGACCACCGCACCGACTCGTATATCAGCATCGATTACTTGTTTTAGTTTTCCCGATGCAAGTCGGAGAAAATATTTTCTAAAAAGCTCGCAGAAAGGTTAGGATGTATTCACACACCGTTTTTCCCTTTTCCCTTCAAATTGCCCGCAAAAGGCTGAAAATCGCAGTTTGCAAGTACATCCGGTAAATTCTTGGCAACCTGCTGAAACGGACAATCGAAACAACTTCAAGATACCAATTCACATCGAGATTGTCTCGTAAGTTAGTAAGGTAGTAAGCCTTCCTTGGGCGGCAGCTTACCAGTATTCCCGCAGTAAGGATGTAGAGCTGCGGGTGGATGTCCTTCTGGGCGAGCAGAATGTCGTTGGGCATAAAGTACTCCACCTCCACGTCAGCTTCCTGCATGTAACAAAAGCACACGTCAGCTTCCACGTCAGCTTCCTGCATGCGGCACATAACAGACTTTCTAGCAGTTTCAAGAAAGTCTACACCAAGATTCTAAGATACTGGCTCCCTTGATCATCTGATGTACACTCCTTGTGAACGTTGCCGGAATAGGTCCTTGCGGTCTGGGTTGCTACTCCCAAATGTGCGCACTGAATTGGATCACTCCGCGACCTCACGCAAGGAAGCAGTATCTGTTTACGAGCTGGGGACCGGAACCACATTCATCAACGTCTGCTCGAACATCTTGGGCGCGCTTTTCGAAAGGAAGTCTTGTTAGTGCTGTTGTACAGTCCCCCTTCAGATTCTAGACCCTTTGCCTTTCAAAACTGCGGAACATTCTCGAAGGGAAACCATTTGGTACGCTCGCTTAAGCGACCCTACAAACACCTTCGGCACCCTTGACCAAGTCGACCATGCGGTCAATGCAGCCGAAATCGACCGGAACACCAACGACGAAACCCGTATGCCTTTGGAAGCCCAAAGCAGATTCAAGTTCTTTCTCCCCGACTTCCTAGAGCACCACCGTTTGCTCAAGCACCTCTGGACCAAATCTGCCGTGATTTATTGCAGCCGGGACCATCCGAAAGTCACATGTACGTGACACATTTACCCTTGAACGCTGAGAAAAATATCGAACTTTTTCTCCCGATTTCCAATCTCCAAGACCCTCACCATCTGCTCGAGCATCTCGGGCGAGCAACCCTGAAACAGATCCGCGCCTTCTAAGTAGCCCCGATGCAGCAACTTAGCGACGCGCGCGCGGATCGGGCGCGGGAACTGGTCCAGCACGTCGCGGCGCTTCTCCGAGATGCGGAACTTGAGCTGCATGAATTCGACCATCTCGGAGCGCAGCGAAGCGGGAAGGTTGTTGTACACGCAGTAGGTGTGGAGGTCTTTGAGGTTCTGGCGCTGCAAAATAAGCAAAAATGGGGGTCTTTGAGGTTCTGCCGCTGCAAAGTAAGGAGAGAAACCAGGAGTTGACTATCTGAGATTCGGGGCAAGACTGCTCGAGCTTCGCAGGAAGGTTGACGTACACGCGTAAAGTGTGTAGATCTCTGGCGCTGCAAATGAAACACGGTTTCAGGAACTAGCTCAAGACGGGTCGAGCTTGTGGCATCGCTTCTTCGAGTTGCATGAAGGACACCCAACTTGTCACGCAGCGGGGCCGAGATAATGTTGAATAGTAAGTAAGCAGAACCATCAAGTTTTGTTGCTGCCGACGCAGTCCAGAAGTTGTAAACTCTGGGTCACCGATGAGCGGAGATTTGGTAATGATTTCTCGTGATCCGTGGCTTTTGTGCACTTGGATTTGCTCCCCTATTACACGTATGATGAACTGTCCGATCTGCATGGAGACGATTAATGGCACGGGCAGATTTCGGTACACGCAGTGTGTGGACGGTCTTCAGTTGTCAACTTTTGGTGATACAAGGTCAAGGCTTTACAACCTCGTCGTAAAAAGTGGTGGGAGCAAGATACAGAAAGAACCTCGTCGTTGCAGTCCGTCATCGAGAAACCTTCCTTGCTTCCCCATGCCTACCATCCTGCCAGAACAAACTCGACTCCGAAAGCAAAGTTGAAGTGCCCTCCTGAACGAGAACGGAACACACGAGGAGAGACGATGGATCTAAGGACAAAGATGACACGTGTTGAAAAAAGGAAGCTGGACAAGAAAAACAACGCGCACAAGACTGCCAAGGAGGACAGCTTCTGAGGGGCTGCAATTGTGACGTCCAGAATTGAACACTCACGTATTGTAGCGTCCGGGCAGATGACTTTTGGATGAGCGCCGTGATGTTGCCGATGACATAAGCGGTGAGGCCCATCGAAAAGATGATGTAGAAGATGGCAAACGAGATCTCACGCACCGACTGCGGTGAGTAATCGCCATACCTGCGGGATATGGAGAAGCGGCTTAGGACTTCATAATATTCAGGCTTCGGAGTATCCATGTTCCAAAAATCTTCACAAAGACACTCTTCTGCGCTGAACATTAGACTGAAGAGCATCGTTGACTTATCACCCACGCGACTGTTGGAAGTAACCTTCGAAAGAGCCAGAAAAGTCTTGCTCTCGCGCGTGGAACTCTCGAAGTGCTAGAAACGTGAGGGGCAAAGGTTGACGAGAGTCCTTAATTGTGCCGATACTCTCCTTGTTTACGAACGGCCACTGGCAGGAGAGACCAAAGGCGAAGCTAGACTTTCCCGTTAGGCTGCGCGCGCAGAAAGCCTGAGCATAGGACCTGTTATGTATCAGCTGCAATTTAGGGGTTGCCAGGCCTGTTGTCAGCACAGCCGAACACCGGCTTTCAAGTGCTTGAAATACTCACTCAAAAGATGTAGGTCGGAAGCGCTTCCAAATATAGAAACAAGGGGGGGGTAGAACGAAGAGGAGAAGGGTCCTACGACTCACCCGACCGTGGTCAGCGTGACGACTGCAAAGTACAGGGACGTCTGCAAAAACACGAGTTAGTCAGCCAAACGGTACATTAAACTGCGGACTCCTGCTGGTTAAATGAGGGCTGTCACTGCGGGAATCCGAAGGGCTAAGCGGAGACATGAAACGAAGAACAGGCGGTACAAAGGGACAGGAAAGTGTACAAGCTACGGCGTGCACCATACGGGTCCAAAGAAAGAAGGTGAACCTGTTTCAATTGAACCAGTGACAAGAGGCGGGTAGCGCAGAACACAATCTAGTCCTTGCAGAATACAGACTCGACTGTCGTCACTGATCCTGAAATTGTCCGACCCAAGGCCAAACTCTTCCGAAGTTTGTACAGGCAATTGGCGGGGTCAAGGGGAGAGACCGACGGCTTACAATGTAACGGCGGTACAAAGAGAAGGCCCGGAAGTCGTCCGTATCCGATCCGATCCAGGTGTAACTCTGGGACGCAACCGGGTACGTGGTCGCCAAAAAGTAGAAGAAGCACCCCGCGAAGTGGGCCGCTAAGATGATGACCTGGCAACGACATGACGTCAGCAAGGACAAGTCAAACGAGATAGCAGAAGCACACCTTAAACAACGCCTTCTATAAGTATCTGACAACGGGATGCCAATGTCCTAGTCATGCAGACACAATCCGCCAGGTCTCGTAACGAGCGTGGCACTTTGGTGCTGAGCGCTACTCCCAGCAGAAAGTAACACAAGAAGACTGTGAACTCACCAGGACAAATTTGACGGTACGTGTCCAGAAATAGTTGATGCGGATGTTCTTCTCCAATCTGACACAGGATGACGCCAATTGTCGATCCAGAGCAAATGGAGACGGTCTTGCAAGGGAAAGCTCTCCGGAAGAATTTCTCCGGGAGGAACGAGACTCAATCCTAGTTACTTGGGCTCTGCAGCACTCTGGAGCGCTGCCTTTAGTGGACCTAGAAAGGCTTGCTCGTCTAGCCTCGACTTCTGTGATCACAAAGGGGAACAAGGTGTCTCTTACGGAGCGCTTGCCACTTGCTGTTCGAAGCACCTCACAACCAATCGTGCAGCAGCACTCCAGCTCTCGTCACAACCATTCTGGATCCGCCATGCTTCGAAGTGTCGACACAACTTAAAAGAAGGCTTCGAACCAGTCAAAACTTCAGATATGGATGAAGCTGCGCAAGAGCGCACGGGAGCATGGCTTACTTGGCAAACAGGCGGGAAAGTCGTCTGAGCCGCCACAGGCGCAGCAGCCCGAGGATCCGGAAGATGAGATGCGTGGAAGTACCGTGAGCTGTGCCACGCAGCACGGAGCGGAATGGGATGCATGACAGCAGGTCCAGTAAGAAGAACGAGCGGAGGTACCTAGTGAAGTAAGGTGCAGCACACGGTGAAAATAAGGAACGCACACGAGAATTCATGCGCTCCACAATCAAACTCACCCTAACCACCCGACTGAATAAACCCGTCTCCCAGACGCCTAAGTTCGATGAGATGCTTCTTCAGTGAAAACTTGATGGATCTCCTGACCAGATGTATGTGCCGTGGGTAGCTTTTATTCAAGTGTTTCAAATATGTCGAATGCTGTTGGTATATAAAAGCAAGGGTAACAAGAGAAGGAGCGAAATGGGGAAACCTTCCCAGGCTACCGAAGGACTGAGAGAAGAGGTACCATCTGCGCCTTGATATGGTTGGGGTGCCTACATAAAGTATAGGCAGTCCTCACCGTGCATCAGCGATTAGCCTTATCAACGAACTAACTACATCTGTGGCGTCACTTCGACAGGGACAAGAGGCAAGCGTACCAATCGTGACCGCAGCACGTCAACCATTCTAATGTGATGCTTAGCAAGCGGCCATGTTCCGAGATACATGCCAAACTGTCCCGCTCACTTGATGCCAATTTGTTTCTGGTCCACGATGAGCTCAGCCGTGTTCTTGTCATAGTAAGCGACTGCAAAAAACGAAAACAGATTAGTAGGCTACAATCGATATGTAGTTTCCCTTCAGACTTTGTTTCAACCACAAGGTCTTTTGGAAAAGGACTTAGTTGAAGATACTAGTTGCTCCCAGATCCTCTCTGGCTAAGTCTGCACTGCCTTAACTTGAGTAGCCTAACATTCGAATCTCCTTCTGGAGCTCCCTTTGGAGCATAAGATCACCAACATCTGGAAGGCTGATTGCGAAGTGTACCCAGTCTCTAATTGCGGCTGATGAACTGCAAAGGAGCACGTAGCTCTGACATCGAAGCAAGTGGCTATGGTGTTCAGCCGCACAACCCAATCAAACATGGGAGACGAAAAAAGAGTGTACCGAGAGAATAAGGACGTGCTACTGCTTCACTCTGTGAAAGGACAGGCCTGTTATAATATCAGACCAAAAGCTTGCTGACAGAGGAGAAAGCACGCATCAATGGAGATTCCCATCACACTTGCATAGCTTGCGCCATCGGCTTCTTGAGGATCACGCGTCAATTCCAAAACATGAGTACATGCTTTTTTCTCCACTGTAACAACCAACCTTAGAACAACGAATATCCACCTGGTACTTCCTGCTGATTGGCTTACCAAAAAAGGTGATGACCAGATCGCAGATGAAGAAGAAGTCCGATACGCTGTCGCTGATTGTCAAGCCTAGGCTTTCATTTCTGGGAACAAAGGCAAACTCGAATGGCCCAACCCAGGCAGTGTACAGTACCTGCAATCGACGGAAGTCTGCAACTCTTCGCTCTGCAGAGGACTTTCGACATTGCTTACGGAGTAGACACACAGCGGCCTTGCCAGTATGCATAATGACCTTTCACGGCGATCAATCCCCATTACTCTGACCGATTGCTCGGTCAAGGTGTTAAGAAAACAGGTAAGGGATTGGCGTAATACGACAGTGTGGGGTGCGCAGATGAAGGACCTTGCAATGGAGGCAAGCAACATACAGGGTGCTTTTTGACACATTGACAGATCCAGTGACTGCAGAGTGTGGGAAGAAAGCGTTTTACTGACCCAGAGCAGCAGGAAGTCGCTCCATTGCTGGTAGCTCTTGTCAAGAGGGTGGATGATATAGGGGGGTAGCTTGGTTGCCTGAACCTGCTCGTTTACATCTGGAGAAATCGCAGATGAAGAATTACAGGTTACTCAGGGCATCTGCAATGAAGTTATGAAGACTACGAAAGCAAAGAAAAAGACGTGGAAGTTTGGCTGTTGAAGATGTGCCTTTGGCCCTGGAATGGATAGATACTACAGCATCCAATCTGAGCAAACAATCTGCTCGGTGCTTGGTGGCGTGATCTAAACAAGGTTGCTGACATCCTCCTAGGTTGCTGACACTGTTGACCCAAAACATTGGAGGAGGGAACAAGGGCATAGCAAGGCAGCACAGAAATGCTAAACTGCATACACCACCTTCGCAGCATTTGACGAAGCTTTCCGCACCAAGCAGACTAACATTGGCCGAGACGCGTCTAAAGCAAAGTTAAGCAGACCAATGAGTCGAACCCAATCAGTGGCAGACAAGTAGGAGTCCAAGAGCTTCAGGAACTCTGGCTTCTCTTGCATACATGCAGGTAGAATCGTCATTTAACGCAGCCCCAAACTCCCGACTTCTCGTGCTGTCTCAAGGAGGACGAAGACACAGGACAACGAAGCTGCTAACCCAGCAGAGCTCTCTCACCCAGAGCAAAGGAGCCTTGTCGTGTGGAATACGCCTTCAGGTCTGCCTGCAGCTTTGCCAGCGCGTTTCCTCGGACCAGCAGGGTCTGCTGGACCCTGTGGTGCTCCTCTGACATGGTGGTCGCTCTTCAGATTGAGATCCCTAAACAATAAACTCCTCTGGTTTGCATGCCCTAAGAGATAACACCTCCTCGATGATGCCTAGGCAGGCACGCCAAAACCTTGCAGCAGATGTGCATCCCTGGGCACCATGCGAGCACAACACAAGATCAATCCAATAAAGTCACCATGGAGGTGCGCACACGAAGACCGTCTGCACGCGTTCGACAAGCTGCTCTCCGAATCCCAGCACGTAAACATAGAGGTAGGTACGAGAGGTCTGCGGCCCCTTTGAATAATGACATCATCATTCCTGTAGGCGCCTCGGAGCCGGCGTCGCGTCGGGGGACTCCTCAGCCTCACTGCCCTCATAGGCTGTTCGCACTTGCCGTTTTCCGGTCAAAACCGAGCCTGATCGGGCTCGGTTCGGACATTTTGAGCCCGAGCCTGCTCGGTTTTGAATCGAGTTGACATCGAAACCGATCAGGCTCAGGCTCAATTTTCTCGGGCCCGAAGACCATGATCGACTCGACAGTGCTCGGACCCGAAAGTAACCAATGCGAACGGTACGGGTCAAAACCGAGCCCGATCAGGGCTCGGGTGGTCGGGTCCTTCAATTTTAGAAACTACAGTGCGAATACCCTATCACTGTTGACATCAGTGTCAGGCTCAACAAAACTGACAAAAGGCTCATGTCAGATTGGGTTCAAGATGTTGATCAAACCAACTACCCGTAGTGGATAACTCTCAAGAAAGATAATAGTAAGCGCCAAGATAATAGTAAGCTCCGACTAACACTAAAAACCCTAACCTTAAATGAAACACCCGCTCCGCACCCGTACCCACCCTATCCACCATACTAACCCTACCCGTCACAGTACGGTTACCTTACTACTATTAGTATTTTCTGGGCTTACTATTATTTTTCTTGAGTTTCATCCGTAGTGGCACGACCCTTTCACACCAAAAATAATTATTCTGGGCTTTTGTGAAAAAAATAAATAATTCTGAACAGGCCGGTGTGAAATAGTGAAACGAGGAAAAGCTGGTTAGGGTTGTGGTTCTATTCGAAAAACAAGGTTTGTACTGCTAACTTCCTAGGGTTTGCTCTTTGGTGTGAAAATTTGAAACTGGTCGCTGGGCTGGTGTGAAAAAATAAAAGCGAAAAAAATAATTGTTCGCAGCGAGGAGGTGTGAAAGGGTCGTGCCACTACGGGTAGAAAGGTGATGCTTCCAAGAAGTAAGCAAATGGAAGAAGGCTGCAGGCTTGATCGGATTTGGAGCAGCACCGAAAGCCGTGTTCTAAAACCTGCTTCGGAGAGAGTCGGTAACGGTAGAGATTAAGCGCCCGGTACTCTGTGCCCGGCTGTGCCCGGCAGTTCCGTTACCAATTTAACTTCCACTTGATCTGGTTTGTGCGAATCTGGAACTGCCGTTCTAACCGGTCCTTCAGCTGACCATTCTCATCATTACCGCCAATCTAGATGGCCCCCGGCCTGGGCCCTCGGAGCACACAGCTAGCTGTGCTGACTCGGCGATGCAACCAGTTGAACTTGAAGCAACAAGAATGTCAGGAATGTATCCAGTCTTTGAATGTACAGCATGTATAGCTGAGCATGAGGCTATGTAGCAGCGCTGCTTTGTCATCCTTCTGCGGTTGCAAGATGCCAAATGCTTTTTCTGAATCTCAAGCGTCATGTAACTTTCTTTCAATCTCCCCAGCGAATCGTGCTTTGCGCAATGCTGAGCTCCATCTCTTTCGACGGCTTGTCGGCGCCACTGGGCCAATTTGGTGGCATTGCCCATTTGCAATGCACCAGAAGCAGGATCTCTCCTTCGCCAGGCTTGAATGCAGCCATATCAAGCCAGAGCACATGCCCTGTCAGAATACCCAGCCAATCATCAGAAAGCCCTTACTACGTAGATGAACAGTTGGTGAAGTCCATCTTAGCAAGGAACTGGTTTCTGAAGCATCCCCACAGCAGAGTTGATAAAGTCAAGATACAGGAAGCCTCAGACGAGAGCAAAGTGTCTGAAACCAACAATGGAGGAGTTCCAGAAGGGCCCCCCTCAACCCCAGCCCTATCTCAGCTCAAATACAGTCCCACCCAATCTTGCATTGCTGACATAGAGCCGCTGCACAAGTACAGCGTCAGCAAGGGTCGCAGGAATCCATTCGAAAGCGAAGAGGATGCCTGTGCAGATGATCAGGACAGTCAAATTGGTCTTTTCAGTGGTTCGGAAAGAGGCAAAGTGGCCCCCAACTTCTTTGTAGTCAGGGATGACCTGCTTCACCCGCTAATGGGGGGGAACAAGATGCGGAAGCTGGACGCACTCGTACCGCAGCTGCAAGGGGAGGGGGTTACTGACGTGGTGAGAAAGTTTTAACCAGCCACTCTGTGAAAGAAACCATCCAGGTTTATTTGGGTTGGTTTTTAAGATGCTTTCAAGATAAGGGTCTGCTTTTCAACGTTTGGCTGTAGCCATGCTTGGCCAAGGAGACTCATCAGTCATGTTCTATTAGAGGACACTGTACGGATTGATTTTAAGTTTGGTTTTAGCACCTTGTGCTTGGGCTGATTGCCGTAACCTATATTCTTGCTTCTCTAAACATGATAGTCAAGACCAAGCACACCCTGTGACTTACTTGTCCTCTGTTTACACCACTATTTCAGCAGATGTTACCTAACCCAGCAAATGCAGGCAATGCCCGTGACTTGACCCTGTGGCCTGCTTATGCGAGTCATGACAAGAGTCAGCCAGACTTTCCAACCCGGCCTTTTGCCTTTCTGTGCAGATCACTTGTGGAGGCATGCAGAGCGCTCATACTGCAGCTGTAGGTAAGCGGGCCACAAGTCAGAGTGGCTCTCTTTTCAACTTGCGCTTGTTTGCTACAAGTCACTCAAAGTCTCTAGAGAAGAAAAAGGTCACCTAGACTGCATCTGAAACCCAGGTCTTTATAGCTACATTGTGGCTTTGATCATGTCCAGTTAGGACAACTGATCTGTCGGCAGTACTCCAGCAGCTGAGACCCTGATCTTACCAAGAGTCCATGAACAGAAGATTCAATCTCACATTGTACCCGTCTTTTTCCAAACCGACGTGTTTGCAATTGGCTACACTGAGTGCATTAGTCAGGGGACTGCAGACTAGTCTACTTTGTGCTTCTTCCCCACCACTTGGAAAGTAGAAAGACTGAGAGGCAGAAAACGTGTCCATGGAAATCTCTCACAGAGTGGGGTCAAGCAGATTCAGTAAGTTTGAAACGGGGGCCGAGGACGCTGCAGGTAATGGGTAAGGTGGCGAGGTTCAGAGCTAAACTCTGGGCCAGGAGTTGACCACTCATCAATCGAGAAGCCCCGGGTCAAAACCCTTAATCTCGCTACGTCACCCCTTCCAGAAGCATTCCCAGCCACGGTCCCACAGTGACGGATTCTCTCTGACCCCACTCTGACAGGTCGTCCATTATTTTAGTCCAGCAGTTGTGACTCAATCCCCGGAGAAGGAATAAAGTTTAAGACTCCATAATACTCTTGTCCCGCCAGGTCCTGCTATTTCGCCCCTTGCCCCTGCTGGGCTTGCGAAATCTTTACCCATCGATTTCCAAAGTAGCATCTAACGGACTCTTGACATCTTTCTTTTTCCCCACAAGTATCCGACCAGCAAACTTGTGAAACAAAGAGGCAGACAAAGTACCTCATCAGTCCTCGCCATCCCCGCTTTGCAGCTGTCGCTTGCGCCGAGAGTCAAATGACCGCGCACCTTTTGCTCCGAGGCGAACGCCCGCAAATCTTAACGGGCTACACGCTGGTCTGCCACATGTATGGGCACGTGACATACGTCCCTCGGTCGGAGTACGCTGACCGGGACGCGATGTTCGCCAAGCACGTGGACAGGCTGTCGAAGCGGGGGCCCGGAAAGGTCGGCGTGATCAAGGAAGGCGCTGGAGACGCATTCGCACTTCTCGGTGAGAGGTTCTGTTCGTCCCTTAAGTCCCCCTATTGTTACTCAAACCGCAATTCCGTCCTCAAGGGCCTCTATTGATACTTAAAGCCTAGTTGTGTAATGACTCTTGAGCAAAGGCCCACGAGACTCGGGAGAGAAGAGTCATCACAAGGAATTGAAGCAGACCCCTCGGCTGCGATTGTGAGTCTAGTGTCGTCGCAGAAACATCGGACTCCCTCTGGGAATCCGAGAGGTCTTTGAGCCCGAGCGAACTCTGGAATGACGTTGTGAACGTGGCGCAGCTTCGGAAAGTACTATCAGACCAACGGTGTCTGTTAGAGTCGATTTCAGTTGCCCTTTGCTGCAAAGTGGTAATCCGACGTACATCGGTCGTGTTCCTTCCGTGTTCGTCAGTGACGATAGTATAACCAGTGCCAGCGCAGTTGGTCTGCGAAGGCTTCGGTTACGTTTCTCATCCTTGAAGTTGATGTTTTTAAAAGTGTACCGCTTCATGGTTCTGAGCCAACGCAAGTCAACGGAAGCCGCATGTGTGGCGGGGATTATGGAGCCTTGCCTCCTCCAGCCCGTTCTTTTGCATTTGCTCGAACATCTACAGGCTGAAGTTATGAGGAAGGTAGAGTTGGTACGCTTCTATCGTAAAGACCGAATGGTCTGCTTCCGTTTTTATCGGTCTTCTTTAAATGAGAACTCTTTTGGATGGCAACATATCGAAGTGTCCATCTCTCAGGGCAGCCCGTGTCAGACCAGTCAACCCGGCCTAGTCTCCCCTGGCAACCTGTTTCAAGTATAGGCTCCGTTAACTTCGCACAACCGGGTTTTGTTCATTGTGCTTATTCGGGGCCCGTTTCTGCAGGCAGGCCTGATCCGCCTTGTCGACCACCTCCGCTCGTTGCCCGAGTTCCGGGGCGCTGATCCGTTGGACATTGTGGTTGACAGCGGAACCGGAACCACAGCCGTAGGCATGGCCCTTGGCGCAGCTTTACTGGGGTGAGTGGCTCTTCAATTCTGCCAACGCCGATGAAGTCTAAGTTGTATTCTGCTTCTGGGTCCGATTGCCGTTTCTCTGCTCGGTCCCGGGTTTGCTCCAATTTCAATACCCTCATTCTGAAAGAAGCGGGGTCCGAGTTCCGATTCATTCGTTTATCCTTTGTCTTCTCTTCGGGTTAGCCAAAAGCCACTCCTCTTTCGATCATGGGCAGTAGAGAGATTGCAAAGACCACCAGATCATACATCACATCTCTTAGAGTCCAGGGATACAACCAGTCCGGCTTTCAATTCGTTCGTTTATACACGTGTCTTTTCTGTGTGCCCGCAGTCTGCCATGGACCGTCTCTGGTATCATGCTGGCATCCGGGACAGACTACTACACGTGTCAGCAGGAGCACCTGTTGCACGAGTTCTGGGCTGGACACGTGGGAACGAAAACAGCGCCGCCACGTCTCCAGCTGGAGTGGATTGAGCGAGAGACACCACGCAAGTAAGCCGGCTGATAATCTCGTCGCAGTTTTGATCGACTCTCTTTGGTGTAGACATTTTCTCCCAGCATTGCAACATTCTATCATAGGGCTGGCGTCTTGAAAGATAAAGAAGCCGGGACTATCGATGCTAGCATTATCCTAGCTCAGCCTTGTCCGATAGCACTGTCGGATTTGGATCCTTGTGCAGCACCTCCGCTCTCATCAACTGCAAAGGCAATACGAGGGACTTTGTCAGGCTAGCTGTATACTAGATGCAATTCGAAAAATAACAATTGATCTGATGTCAGAATTGAGCTTTTGAGGTCGTAATTGATGCAAAACTCAGGCCCCAGGTCCCTCGTGCATATTGTTGCACAAACTGCGCTCTTAAGTACTTACGCACCAGGGGGAAATCGTCCGGAACCTGGGCCAGACGTTGCTTGCTTGGAAGAACAGAGTTCTGTCCTTTGCTTGACTCTGCATACTGCTCTGCCGTCCAGGTTCGGCAAAGTCTTCAGCGAGGAGTTCGCCACGTGCCAGGGTATCGCTCGTCAGACCGGGATTCTCATGGACCCAATTTACACCTTGGCTGGATGGGAAGTGGCCGAAAGGAAAGCTGTTCAAGCCTTGGAGGAGTCTAGAGAAAGCAAAGCCCGCGAAAGTCGAAAGGTGGTCTACTTGCACACCGGAGGGACGCTTGGACTGTTTGGTCTTGCACAAAGATACCCGTCAGCAATTTAAGTAACCTAGTTGATGGCCATCCATAATTTGCAGCTCAGCCCCCAAATGTTGATAGGATGACATATGTACCACATCGAATCTGATTGTGGTTGAAGCAATAATCAAATCTGTATAATTTGCAAAACAGAGATTGTTAAGAAGACTGTATCATATGTGTAGGAGCTTTAGGTAGGATCTGGAAGTTCTTTCAGATAGCCAATTATCCAATGATATGACCTCCGAGCGGGATCGGACAAACCAAGCGCAGCCTGCATGATTGAACAACTAAGTACATATGCCTTGGATTCTCAAGTTTATGAAGAACAGAAATCAAGCTAGTTCAGTTAAGGCGCGATTGCGGTTTACGAGGCTTGTTGAAACAATCAAGTCACTGAGAGGTTTCGAGTCAAGTTCCAAGCGGCAAGCTCAACTGTACAATTCATTAATCCCTTCTTATTGGCATGTGAAATTTAACAGGGGTATCCCGTGATATGTCCCATGCATGAAGGACAACGCAAAAGTTGAACAAAGAATGTGGCCGGGCCGCGATGAGGCTGAGTAGCTAGGTCCTATAGCTGTGCAGTCCATGCGTGCATCTGTCCCGCTGCCTCCCGCATCGTTTCAACGTGCATGACCAGTGCCGCCCGGCATGACAATCTTGATCGAGAGGGATCCCCTCAAACACTTTACGCTGCATGGAGAACCGGGCGGCAAGATCGCGGTCACCTCTGCCATGAGCAGATTCAGAATTCTAAAAAAAAGGGTCGCAGACCGGCCGTATTCACCGACGCGTGACGCTGGAATGACGGTGTGATCGCTTCATGCTGATGAAGCGCTCCAGAAGCTGACGTTTGCAGTGGCAAGAGGACAACAAATCTTTCACTGATTTCGGATATTGGAACTGAAGACTCTTTGAAGCCTATTAAAGTTTAAACTGAGCATGCGGTTGCACAGCTTCGTTTCTGCATTTGTTGAAGGTTGTCGTGTTTGAAAGCTCTCTAAGCTGCGCTTGCTTGGTGGGAGGGATTTGAAAGATTGGAGAGAGCGTTACGAAATGGCACATCAGAAGGTGAGCTTCCGGTGCAAAGCATGGTCTGGCACATTCGAAGCTAGGCCATGCTTTTGATCCTGAGCCCTTTCCTTTACTCAAATTTGTCAAGGCATCTCTTAGAGTCATGCAGCGCTGCAAGTTTTAGAGCCATGGGGACGATCATGGGATTTGATAGTAGTACCCACTCTGGTTTTAAAGAACGTCCACCGTCTTGTTATTTGCCGGCCATTGCCTGCAGCGTGCTTGACACTGACTATTTCCGTAGTTGAGCAGCACCAATAGTTTCATTCATCAAATGAATACTGATTACAGTGCCTGAAACAGTCATTTTGCATGCAATGCTGCCCTTTCGCCACCTTTTCTTTTGCACTTTGTAGAACAGAAATGGCACATGTCCAGGGGCAAGCACAAACCTGCTCATTCATATCTGGAGCCTTTGTATTGAATCCTGCGCCCCCACCAAGTAAACTGAGCTATAACCTCTTTGGAAAAGACTCGCAAGCAGTTTGGCCTGAGCTGGACCTCTGCCAAGTCTGACAGAATCAAAGGAAATATGCTCTTATAACCCCACCAAGAGATTACATGCACACTTACAAACCTGCCTTACGTTCCTTGAAATCTTGAAGATGCGCAATAACCGGGCACTTGTCGCATCAATACAGATTTGGCGAAGCGGAATGAGTAGGTCTGATCACTGTACATCGAAATGCAATAAAGGTATTCACTGCACAGAATTCAGCTCAACAAGTGCTGAACCTCCTCTTTCTGGCAGCATGCACCTGGCGAGGTCATCCTCTACAATACAGCCCGGAGTTCTTGTTCCTGGAGAGTCAGGACCGGTCTGCATTTCAAAGGTTAACCCCCATAACCTTTCTCAGCAATGGAGGCTCGGTTATTGCTCTAGCTCAGTCCTATTTTAATGTCTCTGCCAATCGTGAGAGAAACGAGATGAGATTGCGCTTGCAGACCAGTACTTATCTGGAAAGACCGCTGAAGGGTTGGAATAACTGTGCTCTAGAAACCGCAGGAAGGATGAGATACCTCCTACCGCGCTCTCCTGTGTTGTTATAAGAGTTAGGATTCTCCTCGATCTTAGCCTCCCAATATTATAAGGAGAATCTTTTGCATGCTGTCCAGTGACCCGGCGATGAGCAGGCTTCATATATACCGCTAAGCTGGTGGCCATATGATCTGCCCTACATGTCTATGCATCCAGATTGCTTTGACTAGTGTCAAGCATGAGGAACTGGCAACATGACAGATTTTGGCACGTGTGGCGCAAAAGGACTCAAAAGGCGTCTCAGGCCTGTGTTCTAACCTACTCTTCTCATAAGCAAACACGTCGGATGACACTAGCCCTATCATCTAATAACTGGTACAAATCGTTTCACACATTACTGACTCAATGATAAGTCTTTGTTGGCAGGGATAAGATACACATATGTGAACTGTGACAGGGCTGCGGGGGAGACAGCAACGCCAGGCATGTCTCAAACTCCTTTTTCACCTGTCTTCTTAATTTATGATGATGAGTTCTTTTATTTCGGTGTCTGAGGATTATCTATTGCACATTGGCCAGATTGGGAGAAAGAGTATCCAAGTTTCGTGTTTGGAACCCTTACTTTCATCTCAACTCCGCCTCGTGAAGTCAGAATGAACATACGATGAGTCCGCGCTGAATCTCAAGGTCATCTAAGAAGTATGTACAGGAGCATCCTTCTTATTTGACCGGCCTTTGATCTGAAGTCGAGACGTTTCCTGGCCGTTGCAGAGTTCCTGGCGATCAATCCGATGAAGCAACTCCCGGCGCTGCGCATCGACGGCCACACTCTCTCCGAGTCAGTGGCGATTCTAGAGGTGAGTGCTGTCATTCCCAGCGCTGCTTCGGGAGCGATGGTCCTCGAATGAGTTCTGTAATAGACTGTAGAATGAAGAAAATTTTTGAGTCCATGACTCGAGAAGGACTTCAGAGGGAGAGCGATGTGAAGCTTTGATGCTTTGCTAGCTTGCAGAAAGAGAATGAGGTCAGGCAGATGTCAGCTTCTGCTCTCAGCTTTCTGCTTCCCACTTAAAGTGCTCCAGGGTCGAACCGGTGGCAGTATTTCGGCTCTTTGTCCCCGGCAGTCTCCGACAGCATCTGAATAAGACTAAGCACAGTTTCCCTTTTGCCCCTTCGTTGTAGCTGAGAGATGCGACGCGGTATTTCGAAAAGCAGTTTGCTATAGCTGACGTATAAGCGGCTCATTTGCTGACGCAGTACTTGGAGGAGGTTTATCCGGACCCGCCTCTCTTGCCGAAAGCTCCAGAGGACCGAGCGATTGTACGTAAGGTGAGTTTCGTTGATGCGGACGTTGAAAACTCATTAAGCCCGGTGTTTGTCAGGTTTGGATTTCACCCGCAGGTTACCTTAAACTGGAACCAGGTTCTAGGGCTGCGATTGACTGTTCAGTCAGTGGTAGCACTCCGAGGCTTGGACTGGGGGATTTGTTACGTGTGCTGATCCGAAGTTTTGGGAGATTTACCAAGCTTCTATAAGCATCCTGAATTGAGCACAGAAAATCCTAAGCTCGTCGTCTTGAACCTTGTCGGGACGTTTTTACCCTAACAAAGCGTTCCTTCGTTCAGCACGGATGATCTAGAGTTTTAACCGCTACAACCCGATGAAGTAGGCGCACACGTTGCTTTGCCTCTTTTGCATCATAAGGCGACCGAAGGGCAACCAGAACCTCGGTAGAGAGCCTGTGATTGTCGCCTTTCTGCAGTTGGTGGAGACGATAAATGCGGGGACGCAGCCTCTGCAAAACACCTACGTCTTGGTAAGGAGCCATCTCAAAATGCGCTCCAGGTCTGTGTGCTGTGTCCAGACAGTGAGACCCACTTTGGGGCAATGAAGGAGACCGTGTCAAATCGAATTACCAGAGTCGGTCTATTCGTCAGGCGAGTTTCTTTGCAAACAACCTCTTGCGTCGAACTATTGAACCGGCTGCTCTTTTTCCAAACCAATCTGTTTCTGACTCTTTCAGTTTTCCCAAGTAAGGAATTTTGGCTCAAATGAAATCCGAGAGACTTGCGAGCAGGAAGGTCTGCTTGCCAGATTCTTTTGGTCCCTCTTTTTCTCGCTTCGCATTTTGGTTCTCTTGCTTTCAATCTTCTGTTTCTCTTCACTTTATTTCCCCTGGCCGCAGCCTTTTGGTTCTTAACGCACGACTGGAGCGACTCGCGATTCGACATCGTTACTTGATCCAGTTTAAACGTTGAGTGCAGTCTTGCGGCCATTACGAAACAGAAATCGCTCTGCGATTGCAGGAGACGCTCGTCGAGATGTACGGACCAGGGGCTGACGTCATGTGGGCGGAGAAGTGGATCCGGAGGGGCCTCCAAGGTACAGTCACGTGTCCATTTTGCATTGGCCCGAACGGCCGCATGCTCGCAGACTGCGGACAGTCTCTGCAGACTTTGGACAGTCAGACGAGAAGAGACGACTGCAAAAAAAAAAACGTAATGTGTCCAGATGCGAACAGGCACTGTCTTGCGCGATTCAAGCCGATGTAGATGAAGTCGCCACGTTATATGAGCAGAAGCAGTCAAAGTCGTCAGCCTTTACTGGCAGCACCGTCCTGAATCTCTCTAAGGGCGGAAGCACAGCAACCGCTGAAGTAGGTTTTATGGGAATTCCAAGGACCAAGCGACGATGTCAGGATTCGCGATTCTGCTTGTGCTTTTATCTTCCGAAAGAACTGCAATGACAAGTCTTTTCCTGCAAGCTTCAATGTCGAGGTTCGTCAGCTTGTGTGTCCATCAGCTTCGTGCTCGTCTTCTTGCTCGCATCTTCCGTGTAAGTTGCCGGGCCGTTCTCTTGTTGCGTCGAAAAAGAGGCCGCTCAAAGGACCCGCTTATCAAGGAGAGAGTAATGCACGCTCTTCCGGCTGTCCTTCCATACAGCGTGATACCGAGTATATGCAACTCGTGCGTCCACAATGTTCCACCTACTCATGTGCCGAATGGTGGTATCGTAAAAGCTGCCTGCTGAAAGTTTGCTCGTTATTGTTGCAGCTTTTGAGGACATCATCTCCAAGACGGCGGGCAAGTGCTGCTTCGGCGACTCCCTTACCATGGTCAGCCGCCATTCTGTCGCCGTTCTCGTTACACAGGCTTCTCTAGTCACGCTGGCTGTTATTGGGTTCCGAACAAGCTTCAAGTTTGCGCTCCGTCATATAAGCTCCACCGTATGCAGAAAAGTAGCACATTTGTGGAACTCTGGTTACCCTCTTCCTGCCGATATACACTATGAAAGCCTCTCTTGAAAGCTTGCGTGGCTTCGAAGGACGTGTGTCTTCACCCGCTCAGCTCAGAAAACGTGTGCAGATAGATATGAAGTCTAGCTGCGAGGATAGAGGTTGACGCTTTTTCTAACAATTGAGTTGAGACCGGTTCAAACCAACTTCCAGTTGAGCCAGTCCGTGCGACGCTTTTGGACGCTGGAAGGACAGACGCCCCCGACGTTCTTTTTTAACAGCATGTTGCAAGGTTTTTATGCATCTATTAAGTTTTTTATTTTCTTAACTTGAGGGATTTCTTTTCTGCTGCAGGCTGACGTCTTCCTCATTCCGCAACTGTACAACGCACATCATCTCAATATCGATCTCGTGAGTGCCTCTGACTCGCATCTTAAGCGGATTCTTGTCGGAAGTTCCGGCGTATACAATTGATGCTCCTTCAGACATTGCGGTACAGTGGACTTTCCCCGACCGAGCTCTCGGCAGAAGACTTTGCGGATGATTACTCATGGTTTTGATCTGAGCGCGAGGGCGTGGAAGCCATGGCATGCCAATACTGGTTCTCATTTCTATCATTTTAGCAAGTACTTACTCCCCAATCGCATGTCTGTGCGTCGGTAAACTTTTGTTCGCAGATACGATCCAAGGCGCTATAGCTGGTAGTCGGGAGTTTCTTAGGCACTTTAGTCTTCTTTGTTACGTAGCCTGTTGTGCAAAAAGGATGCTGGCAGATCATTGCCCTGATAGCATTTCATCTGTATGTCGCACGAAATTAATCTCCGGCAGAGCGTTGAATTAGGTTTGCCTTTTTTACTAACTTTTCATCCGCTCCCGTTGCAAGAGAGCGCTAAACGCAATTGCGGAGTCGGAAAGCATCTGCGTATTGTTGGGCGCCAATCGCATACTCGTTTCTTTCTGCAGAGCGCTTATCCCACTTGCCTGCGCATCGAGAAAGACCTGGGAGCGCACGCCGCCATCAAAAGCGGGAGGCCGGAAAAGCAGCCGCTCCCGCCGCACAAGCACTAGCCGGCGTTCCGCTTCCGTCACGTTCCGTTCCGTTTTGGCTGACCGACGCGGAGGACCGCTGCAGCGTTGCTGTTGTGACGTTCCACATCATCAAAGTTTGAACAAAAAGAGCTAGAGGCCATGTTGTAGCTTGCGCACGCAACAACAGAGTTGCTGCCAGCATGGCTGATAATGCTCGTGTTGAGGTCAAGTGTTTGAAAGGCACCCATACCGACGGCTTTGCGAGATAATGCTCGACTCTGTCCATTAAGTGATTAAGTCGCTACATATTCTGCCGGCTTTGCGGAGCAGAAAAGCGTAGGCTTACTAGCTTGGTTGGCCCGCTTGGTCTTCATGGTTTGTAATGTCCAGGACATTCGATTTTAGCCAGCCCTCAGAGAGTGTACATTAGCAGCCGGGGTGCAAATCTCGATCAGGACGGTCATTAAGCCAGACGAAAGATTGAGCCAGTTGCTGGCACGATCCGATCAAGAACCACGTGACTATAACCCAGTTAGCGACCATTTCCGAGCTTAGTTGTGTTCATTGCATGTAGGGGCGGCCGCGCGGGGTTGAACAGGACTCGCAAGCTCCCACGTCCATTGAGGGCGCTGTTACGAAACTCATTTGCTGACAAAGAGTACGCCGGGTATCCCATTTCAACTACTCAGGCATCATTGAGACGGTCCCGGTAGGCACGTAAACGGCTAGGTCCTACGTGCGGGGCCCGCCGCTTTTGAGCCCGAGTCAAAGCATGAGCGGACTCCGGGATCCGACGGTCACGGTCTCGCGTGGGCGCTAGCACCGGCCTATGATTATTGGCTGTCACTACGTACATATGAACTTACGGTTGTGTCATGAGGTTATTCACAAACTTTTGCAGCATCATCATGGCAGTGGATCAAAATTGCACGTAGTTTTTCAATGGAGTCGAGTCCCGGCACTCGCGATCAAGTAATGCAAAGCCAGCAAAGGTACACTCTGCCTGTCACGTTACTTTGCTAGCTCACTGGCACTTATCTTTTCTTTTGGCGGCAGAGCCTGTATATACTTAAGGGGACATTGAAGGCAGCTGCGCAATGTTCAAGATTGTACTCAATCAATTGTACGTCCTGCCACAAATTATAATGAGGGCCCGTCATCGTAGTCCCGCGGGGCCGGGCGCAAATGACGGCCGGGGTTCATGAGGGTTTGAAGGTTTCATGTGGCTGTGCGGGTCCGGTCAGCAGGGTGCCCCGAATGAAAGCGCCCCGATTCAGACAACCTCATCTGAGACCATGCAACTTGCGCTGCGCAACTTTTCCGAACATCAGCAAACCAGACAGCGTTTGCCGGCCCGCTCAACATGCACAGATCAATAACCTGCTGCTTGAAAGGCTCAGCGAGAATGCAAGTGTCACAGGGTGTGAAACAGCTTCGTGCAGATCGAAGCGCTGACGATGTTACGTGCCGATGTCCGTACAGGGACGGAGGCTACGACATAACATCGCACGTCTGAACGCTGCAAAATCGACATATCGACAGACAGGGTCTGCTCCGCGACCTGTCTTTCAATCAAGACACGTGCCTTCTGCTCCGGGAGGCGTATTTCAGTTAAGACACATGCATGCTCTAAAAGGCCTCCACGTAAGTAGATTTGAGCGAGCGCTGACTGCTCAGAGATTCGTAGACTCCCCATATGCATCTGGACTGACAATCTGTCAACGCTTCGAAGCAGCTTGCCCCACTGGCACCCTAACAGTGACCGATCCAAAACACCTTCGTCTATTCTAGCGTCTGTCCTGCTCCTTTGTTTCGTCTGAGCTGCAGAATATCAATGTCAATCTCAGGGAGTCTTCCTCCACGCTCAAAAGGAAAGCAGCCCTCAAACATTGAACTCTCGCTCCTCTTTTTGGGCAGGCTCGCTTTCTAGCTTCTCAGACATCTCCCTTTCTATAGCTCCCACCTTTCGATCATGGTTTGGTTCGACCGCTTCTCGCAGCAGGACGACTACCAGCAGTCCCCCCATGCGGCGCTCTACGACAATCGCGAGAAGGAGCACAAGTCAGAATGGACTCACGAGCTGGTCGGAGGCGCCGCTGGCGCTGAGGCCATGAGGCTGTACGAGCAGCGCGAGGAGGCGGAAGGACAGGCGCCGGACCACCAGGTCGCAAAGGAGATCTTAGCGGGCCTTGCTGGAGCTGAGGTATGCATGACGCATCTCTCGAGGCCTAAGCAGTATGCTACATGTAGGGTCATGCACCGGCAGGGGAAAGTTTATGGTCTAAAGGTTCTAGTGTTCATGGTGTTCATCGCTGATTTGTCAATGTCAGGTTTCTGAACAATTATTCATAGAGAAGGCATTCTGTGTTGACTCCTGAAGCAGTAGCTGTCCAAGTGGCCCGGGTGCTTGGATCCTGAATGTTGAAAGGAAGAAGCTTGGATGCAATTCCTTTGAGGTCTGGATTCAGAAGGCCTTGTTTGAGGATGATCCTTTGCATATTCTGCATCTTTTTCATCTCAGGATATTTCCCCCTAAGCCCTCGTAATCTAGAGTAACCGTCACTCTTGTGCTGATCCTCTCTAAGAGACCTTTATCTGTACGGGTAGCGTCCTGCCTGATGCTTCGACCTCAATTGGTTCACTTCAATTCTCTGCAACTCTCACACCGCTGATGCTCTCGTGTTTCTGTCCTGTGTTACCTGGTGTAGGGATTGTGAAATTCCGCTTGGTTTCCGTCAATCGAGTGTTCAATGTCTGCTCTGTGCGCTTTTCTTTATACATTACAGCCAGCGCTCATCACACACTTTGTCCTGAACATATTTCCTGTCCATGAAGTTTTTTGGGTCGACATGACACATCTCTAGTGATCGTAAGTGGAGTTCTGGAGCATGCAGGCAATTTATGTCGGACCCATCTCACTGCACAATATCCTATGAGCGATTGTGCAGGCAGCTTCAAACTAACACTTGATTAATTTGAGGTTCTCCGCCACTCAATTTGCAGGTGGATAAGCTCTTCGAGACCAAGGGGCTTGACTACATCGATCGCGAGAGAGCAAAGCACCGCGCCAAGGAGCAAGCTCGTCAGCTCTACGATCAGCATTACGGACAGAGCGACTATTGAGGACGAGTCTGGAGCGCCCAGAACCTTGAAGTAACTCATTGTCTTCTTGATTTTTGAGGATCGGAACCAGTGAAAACGCAATGTTGCTTCGCTTGTAAGGAGAGGAGACGAGTCTGCATACTTCTTTTAAGCCTGAACTGTAGCCGCGTAGAAAACACGTAGTTGTTCGATATTCCTATCATGTACCTCGAACACATGTGCGCAAAGACTATCTCCGTCTTTTCGAATGGTGCAGCCGTCGTCCAGGACGTGTCGCGGATACAAGCGTTTCGTTCATAACTTAGAAAACTTGTTTAAGAAGCTTTTGGGCATGATGGCATACAATCAAATCGAACCTGGTTAGGTAAGGGCCAAAGACACGACTTCATGCATGCACATGTTCCGGATTTAGATTTGTGAAAAAAAAACTCATTCATCCCGACTGAGTGACGTGCACACCTGACTCGCTCAGCCCTCGTCAGCTGCTGTCCTACTCAAGGCTTGAACGGACACCGAATCGTACTCGTGCACAAGAAGTGTCGCCATTTGATGCTCTCACTTTGACGTGCTCTAGAAAGAACATGCTGATGAAACAGATTGCTACAATAGGCGTGATGAAGGCAGGAGAGCTGCTTACGACTGTGAATCATGAGCCAGTCCGCTATGTGCATCTCTTGTGAACCGCCCATACTAAACATGTTGCAATATGGAGCACCGATTGAACCCAAGCTCGGGTACTTTTCGACTCAGTGCCCGTTGGAAAGTAACATTTGAAATCGCAAAGTTGCACCGAAGGTTTGAGTTCTTCGTCGCTGCACCGGTGCTACTACTTTTATAAACCAAAACCACCGGTACTACTTTTCCTTGATATTACTGAGCGCTTTGGCTTACGCTGTTGCCTGAATTCAGTTTTCGCTCCGATGACCAAGCTAGGCTTTGAGCAGTGGATCCGTAAATAGAAAGACCCTTGGGAAAGTCCCCCCCCCAACATCACAAGATCAGGTACAATACAGACGTCAAGCAGGTTTACTATGCAATCCTCGAGCTTCTACTTCCCAATGTACCACCCATTCCTACATGCAGTCTGAAAGGACCCTAAGGACGAGGTACCCCTTCTAGATGGTGCGTCAGCATTCAGGCGGAGCTTGACTATACATGAGTTCAATGCAAATCTCTGAGTGACACTAAAGTAGGATTCTCAACTCGGAGGAATACCTGCTCCGCACCCCTGCTATTCTCCCTAGTGCCCCATCTAAAGCTGCCCGTTCCAGTACGGTACTATCTTCATCTATTTTGGCTTGTCATGATATCTCTTGACGTTGGCCTAATCTTGCGCAGCCTCATACAAGCGCCTGACATTCTCCTGAGCCAGTCGCCCCCCCGGCCGAAAGCGGTACTTCAGGTACTGCTCCCGGATGATCCTCGCTGCCCTTCTCTTCCGCAGCAAGCGGATCCTGCACGCCCTTTGTATCACCTTAGCAGCGCGTTCTTTCCTCAGCTCCATCAACCGGAACTTGGTTCTCAGAATGCTCATACATGTGTCGTACTCTGGCCAGTCGGAGTCCCTCCCTCGCGGCCAAATAGTAGCGAAGACCACGTCACGCATGGCACGTTCTACCTTCTCAAATTGGCACACCTGGTCTGGAGCTGGAGTGTACTGAAGAAAGAGGACTGTGACGAGCTCTAACACCTTTGAGGGGCCCCAGAGCTTCTGACTGGTTACAATGGTCCTGATCAGATTCCGTATTTCCGAGAACCATGTGACTTGAAGCCAGTCTCGATCCATATCATCTTCTGCTTCGAGTTGCTTCAGCTCCGGTCCGGCAATTATCAGTTCAAAAATAGACTTCAGAATGCAGGAGGGAAACACCTCCGTCCTCAGATGCTCATATGCTCTCTGGCACCTGATAAGTTGCTGGATTTCTTGAATCGACGCAGGGCTCAGGTTCTGCAGCCTCCGTATCTCTGTCTTCAAGCGCTGCCGCTCCGCTTTGTGCGGCGCCTGTGAGCGTTCAATGATGTCATAGACTGCCAAAGCCATCTTTGGAAGGTGTGAGCGCCCTGATGTAGATCAAAACGTCCAGGTCGCGGTGCAAAACTGTCCCAGAAGGATATAAGCAGCTATTAAGCTGATAGATGGTTGCTGGTTGCGACATGCATCACGCGGCGCGTGCAGCGGTGTGGAGGCCGACGCGCGCTGCCCGCCATGTGCGGGAGGGGTTTCAGGGTTCCGAGATTCAGAGACTTGAAGTTGAAACCTTTACCGATGCCAGATGCTGAGATGGTTACCAACGCATTGACTCAACCTTCACATGCATGCAGTTCAAATTTCCACAGACTGTCTTAGGCTCGCAGATACTGAGATAGGAGTATGCAGGAGTATTGGCCCGATCAGCAGCTGTACAAGCGCCAATTGAAGTGCTGCAAATGTTCATTGATAGCTTCTTAAAACGTGGAGTGATTGCAATTTTCATTTCATCGGACGCTGCGCAATTGCCCGAAAGTAGGAGACCAGTCTCCTGAGTACTGGCAGGAGTTAGAGCTCTTCAATCAATAGCGGTGCAGTTAACAATGCATTGTGGATTCCAGCCAATGGCAGAGCGAACTGCCCTTTTTCTGGTACCCTGCAATTGACGTGGAATTTGTCAGAGCTCTTCCAATTGAATGGCACTTTCCAGTGGCTTTGCATCTCATGCCTACCTTCAATCTGGGGGCCAATAGGGAGCCAATCTAACAATGCCAACTGTCAGTGTACAGCGCCAGCCTTGCAGCCAAATCGGAGCAGCGCATTCGCGCCAATGCCTTTCGTTAAAAGATGCGAACTCTGCTTTAGCACAAGTGCTGTCTCGTCACCCCACGAGAGCACAAGGCACCAGTCCTTTTTATTTGAACAGCCTGCTTTTGGCCCGCAGACGGGTGCCATTCATTGCCCACAGTAAGCGCCACGCAGTAAATTCATTGCTCGGACAACAGTACAGCACACAAGGGAAGAGGAGGGGCAACAATTCAATCCGCTGCAATGCAGCTCTCTCGGTGGCGCTTCCCTTCGCCGGCGACGTTGACGCCTGGCGCCTCATCATTGAGCGCGCCACCGTTTTTTTTGCCATTCTAGTTGCTCACCTCGCCGGCTCCTCACAGCCCACCTGGGGATCCGGTTCATCCGGCCGCTTAGCCTTCTTACCAAGTCGGAAACCTTCTCAAGAATCGCCTCTCGTTGGCAGCGTCAGTTATACCAGCACGGCGGACTGGGGGGCCGATTGGGGTGACCAATGGGGTGGCGAAACATCAGCGGACCAAATCGCAGAACGGCGTTCCTCCAGCGAAAGCGCCACCACCTCCGAACCGGCCCCCGTCTTCCCACCAAGGATCTGGGGTGACATCAGCGACAAGCTGAGGGCGCCACCTGTCGCAAGGAAAGGCGCCCTCGTCGAGACGGTCCTGGCGACGTCGCCCGAGTTGAGCGTGCAGGGGTTAGCGAGGGAACCCCGGAGGCGCCTTTTGGCGGCAGCGCTTGGGGCGCTGCGAGAGTCAGTGGAGTTGCTTCCAGAGGAGATGGAAGAACTAGGCGTGCCAGAGTGGCGGGCGGCGAGTGAGGGCGTTTTGGTAGCGGCTGTGAGGGGGGCCAAGAGCGCATGGCTCGAAGAGACGGACCCAGAATTGGGGTCAAGAAAGCGAGTTAGAGATAACCTAGGTCTGAGCGAGAACGTGGTTGAGCAGTCAGAACCACTCTTGGCTGAGGTAAATGAGAAAGCTGTTGAGTCTAGTTGGATGCAGAGCCTTTTAGGGCGGAAACCGGGTTTGGGAGTAACCCAAGCGGGGTTAACCCCTGTCGAGACTGAAGCGGAAAGGTCAAAGAATGGAGCGGAAAGGCAAACCGGTGGGTCAGACGCTCGAGTGCCACAACGAGAACAGGGGTCCCGAGCAGAGTGGGGCGGATGGGGGGCGCCAGTGTTTCGAGTTGCCGAGGAGACTGATTCTAGTCTAGACGGAGTGCTTCAAAAGGAGTTGGCACTGATGGGGGACAAGTTGCCGCTGTATGAGGAGCTGCTGTTCTACCTGCGGTTCAAAAAATGCAGGTAAGCCCAAACTTTAGAACTGGTATGGCCCTCAGAAGGATTTCAAGCGTTCCGCATACATTTTGTGATCAAGTGGGAAGACTAGGTCCTTTGAGAATTCCAGGCTGAATAACAATTGAAATGGACAGATAAAATTCATTGTCCGTTAGTGTCTGGATATCTGTACGATCTTCTGCATCTGGTTCCGAATTGCTGAGAAAGTTGTAAATCAAGCTCTCTCCGACCGGATTTGGATGTGCAACCCCATCAGAGAAAAGCTTTTGATGACTCAGCTGTTTTCAATTGTGTCCATTCAGGAAGCGGGAACAAGTCTAGAAACGCTGGCGGTTTGCAAGAAAGCTTTGCGTCAGAAACATCGTCTTGTTGTAATTTTGGAAGACTTTGAGAGCGAAGCAGCAGAGCGAAACTTTTCGGATGCCCTTTTTTGCATCAGAAGCCGTCTGTACATACACTCTGGTGCATGGATCAATCTAGTGCAATAGGAACTCCGGCTCAGCTCTTACGAAAGAAGGTCTTCTGAGGAGTTGATTTGTGTACTTCAAAGGGCGGTCGAATCCAACGCGGACTGCTACACAGCAAACGCGTCGCATAAGTCAAAAAGGCATCATCTGCTTTGCGCACAATCCTAACCTAAACCTCCTCACGTTTCTCGTTCCCAGGCAAGGAACGAGGTTACCTCCCGGGGCCTTCACGAAGCACGCCTCCAAAGCACTGGAAGACCTCGTGCTGGCAGTTGCCGACGCCGTTGCATCCGACTGCATGAGCCTCGTCGGTTACAACCCCAGGTCCGGGGTTAAGTCCCTAACCCCAGAGCTTCTTAGATCAGAAGAGAAAGACGAGTCTGGCCAATTTAGTGGGCGGGTTAACGATCCGAACGAACGGGGGAACGGGTTAGAAGGCGGGTTAGCGGACGGTTTGAGGGACGACAGTCGGAAAGTAGAGCAGTTGATGCAGCGGTTCTTGCACCCGAGGTTACGGTCGACCAGGGCTCTGGAGCGGTTTCGAAACGAGGTGAGCAAAATGAACCTGTTTTCAAGTTGTCCCTCATAATCGTATTGACCTAATGTCATCTTGAATATATGAGCGTTCATAGCTGTCTCGACTTTGTACCAGATCACCAATTAAGTTTTGCGTCTTTCGAACTTTCAGTTCAGGTCGGGCCGCTTGCTTCGAAGAAGATTCTATGCTGGCACGAAGTACGTCAATGTTTTCCTGCTGTCTCACCATTTGTCTTTCCTGACTCGTTCCACATCTAACATGCTACGCCTTGGTTTAAAAGCTTCGGAAGCAAAGAAGCTCGTGGAAACTGGCTTCGTTTGTTGAAATGTCACCAGCAGAAGTAACGTGGGTTGCAAAGGACGACGCAGATTTGTGACAACCCATCACATAACCTGGTTCCGCTTCCTTCGATTGCCTGGTTGAAACCAGAATTGTGGCCTTGATCTTGGTATCCTTTAAAAACCTTCAGCTTACCAATTGTATACTTCAGGTGTCGCTCCGTCGTTTCCTCCGGACGAAGCTGGCCTCCGTCTCAGCATTAATCGACTAACCAATCGGGCATTGGCAGGTGTCGCTCCGACGGTTCCTCCGAACGAAGCTCGCCTCCGTCTCAGCACTGTACGAAGACCGGTACGACTTGTGGGGCCTGCGACAACAGCCGATCGCTGGCGGCTCTGAACCTTTAGAAGTCCCCGACTCCAAAGGCAGAAGAACCAGCCCGCGAACCAGACGGAAACCTCTTGCAAGTTTTGCGGGGCTGGGCCTTCTGGGGCGGAAACGGCAGGCGGAAATGGCGGAGGAGGATTGGGAAGTGGTCGTCGTGGGGCGGAGCATGCCGTGCCGACGAATTGCGGAGCTGCGGCGGCTAGGGGGATGGTGAGCGGTCGCTTATGAGCTCAAGAGCTATGACTTTTTGCCTGCTTATTTGTTTGCTATAAGAGAGTTACCCCCGAGCTCTGGAGGCTGGGGGGACGTTGAGCGGCCGCTTATCAGAGCCCATATGCCTTACGTATCTAGCTGCTTATTGCATCCGGTAGTGCAGAGAAGGAACAATTGAGATATGCCTTGAGACGGTAAATGGGTAGGAGTCCGTTGAAGAACCGTATCTCACCTGGATTCGGCTGCTTATTCTTGTCAGCCTATCGTTGCGGGTTCAGTACTTTTCCGATTTTGAGGGGTTTACTGTCGCTTGATGTGAAGTCCGATGTTAATCCTTGATTCTAGTCGCCAGGTGAGGACTATAAGAAGGGAGTAGGATGGTGTTGCGAGCGGAAAGCACAAACCGGAAGAACGGAATCGAGAAACAACTTTGGTTCGAAGTCACGAAGAATCGATGGCTGGCCGCCCGTTTTACGAGCCATCACTTAGACAGAACCTTTGCTTTTTCATTTCGCAGGCAATTGCGGTACAGCATGATCCTCGAGTTCCTAGACGTGGCCGCTCCCATTCTCAACGGTCTCCTCATGAAGATGGGCGACTGGATCTCGTTCCTTCTAGTCACTATGATCGGGCGGTCGCTAGGCCTCATCTACAAGGGCATCAAGCAAAGCTTGAGGCGTTCTTAAGAAAGCTTAACGGTTGAGGGCGATGCCAACCGGGGCCGCCTTCATCCGTAAGGTTTTGCAAGACTGGTATTGATCAATGAGGAGGTATCATACTGCGCACTGTTCGCTGACTTCTGCGCTGCTTTTCACATCTCGGTCATCAATCTTGGTGGTTCACCTTTGTGGCGGATTAGCGTCAGTTGTGCCAATCGCTCTAGATGCCATGAGTCATTCCGCATACTGACCGCTTGATCATTGCCATGCATGCCGTTGCAACCATGGAATATCCAACAGGTCCGAGTCCGATCATCAATCCCGTACGACCACTTCAAGTTGGACGAGTCTTCTTCTATATTCTAAGGACCAGCTTAGTGAGGAGTTATAGTTGAGTTGAGGGCTAAGAAGGGCCGGGCGGCCCCGCCACATGCGACCTAAGTGTGAGAAGGAAATGTAAAGCCTTCGAGTCCGACGTACTGAGCTGGACTATTGTGATGATTGAGCAATTACAGGCTGTTACATTAATTGGAAATATTCAAATGTCCATGTTGCAATTATAGTACACAAGTACCCGGAAACTATTAATCAATGGACCTTATTGTAACCCATGTCAGAGCCTGTCCATATAGTGCGTCGAAAGCAATGTCTACAGTGTCTAAGTACTCTACTTGCGCAGCCAGGACTTGCTAGGCAACTAGCTAAAGAGGATTGGAGGCAGCCTTCAAACGACCCAGTGTGCTGATGCTTGTACCGTTCTGAAAACAATTGACATCACCTTGATAGGATAGCTTACTATGGAATATTTGCGTTCAGATTCCTGCAATAGCTCCGGCCACTCATACGAAAACCCGCATGCATGTGGCGGTGTGTCACTGCTGATGGCTTTGCTTCGCGATATGATCTCTGTGATGCGCGGCCCCTCGAGATTCTACACCAGTAATGGGACTACTCTAGTATAGGGGGATCCGCAGCTTTAGAAGGCGTTGGAGGGTCCGGTGCTTGATAAGGAACCAGACGCGTCGAGTCGGATCGTCGCACTCGGTGGCTCGTCTCCGTTCCTTCTTCGCGTTCAATGGGCGAGAATCCAAAGCCTCCGAAACTGGGCCGCATGAACTTGTTGTCGAAGGCGCGCCATAGCCGGTGTGCAGTACCTACACTCGACAGTTTTCCACGTTGTAAGAAGTACAAGCTATCACCATCTCTTGAAAGTTTGTTAAAGGGCTCTGAACAGGTTTATGAAGTGAAAACGACAGTATCTGAAGTCACGATGCGTGACTCTCAATTTGTTGTAAGTAGTTGCAGGCACCGAGCTGCATGCGTTTGTAGGTTACTATATGACTTTCAAGAAGACATCCCGCCGATCAGGCACTCCACACGTTAGCCAGTCCACCTCGAGCCGCTTCTGGGCATTCCGAGTGTCTCTGCTCGTGAACAGTACTTGCGACTTGATCCGTCCAAGCGCCAAAACCGGATTCCATTTCTTTCTTCTTCCCTTCTTTGCCTCTTATGTGCAGACGTCGCTCACCCGACGGCGCCGCCAGCAGGGCCGTGACGCTGGGCCCTGACGTCAGGCTGCTGATGGGCAGAGCGAGGTCGAAATCCATGGACCCCCCCGAGTAACTCCCGCCGGACAGCAGCGGAGCGGCCAGGCCGTTCTCCCTGCCGTTGCGACTGATGCGGCCTGGGGGGGGGTAGGCGGCGGTATGTGCCGCAGATGATGGGGGAGGACCCACTCAATGATGGGCTTGCTGACGCTGCCAAATGCCTGCAGGGGGGGGGGAGATTGAAGCAATCTGCAAGCATGCGTTTTCTCCCATTGTTCACTGCAGTCTCTGCTCAGCGAACGGGGCAGACGTATCAGAAAGGACCCACTCAGATCTGGGACCCACTCAATGAGGGGTTTGCTGACGCTGCCAAAAGCCTGCAGGGGGAAAGAGATTGGGACCATCTACAAGCAGACGTTTAGTGGAGTCTCTTTTCATGTGGTCGAGGGTACAGAGTAATACAAGATCCCTGCGTCGTTACAATTGAAGGATTTGGGGAGCCCAACACTAGCTTGTCAGCCCAAAAGAACAGCGCAGAGGAGGGTGAAGACTTGACTTGACTGTGCATCACGAAAACAACCGTCCGTTCAGCAAAGCTGTAAAAACAGGCGCGAGATCCTGCCGGGAAAGGAAGAAACCTCTTTTGATCTGCTGCGGGTTACTATTGGAACCGTCCAAGCAATGTCGTCTGAGTCCAAAGCTTCAGGGCAGAATACCGCAATGTGCTTCCGTTCGCTTCGAGAAGAATACTGTGCCGTCGAAAGAGGACCAGTGCGGCAGTAGAGAGAAAGCCTGGCTTCGAGATGCCGGACATGACAGCAGGGGTGCTAGATCCCTCGAAGCACTCATACGAAAACACGAACGAAAATGGACCACCCAGCATTGGAAAACTTGATATGCACAGAGCGCCCCTGAAGCAACGACGACGGACGGACGGATTTTGGGCGGAACGGAACGGAACGGAACGGCTTACCAACGTGGAGAAGAGGACAACGGCCATGGTGGTTGCGATAACGGTGGCGTGCTCGGGGTTCTGAGTGTCGCCGCTTTGCGAGAACTGCAGGGAAAGAGGAGCACGAGCGAAATTAAGATTGGGGATTAGCTAACCCGAAAACCTGCGGGCTCGACGGCTTACTCCTCCAAATTACAAAGTAAGGGCCTAAGGTTAATAAATTGTGTTTCAACAAGGAAAAGGACGGTTGATCAAGCTGGCTTTTCTTGAGTGGCACAATCAGAAGCGCTAGAAGCAAACCTTCTTCGCAGAGAACTACTGACAGACCACTACATGCATGCTGATTTGATGGTTTAAGAGGGTTAACTGCCTATGGTTCCACTTTTCAACATACCGGATTTACGGTTTTCTTGCTCAGAAGCGGCTTCGTCTGCGGAACAGTCCACGCCAAAACCTCTTTGCAGAATCCTATGAGCTCACCTGAGAATAGGCCAGTGCGATTGACACAGCGCCGCGCATCAAGCCAGACCACCAGATGATAATCTGTCAGAGCGTCCGGGCGTCAGCAATGATGCCAATCTCGAAAGACGCGAATTTCTCCGGTATCGGCAAAGAAGAAGGCAACAGCAGACATGACCGTCATGACCGCCAATGACCATTATAATCAGCAATCAACGTGAAAATTTAGGTGAGCACCTGGCCGGGAACGTCATTGCAGTCAGATGCAGCAGACAACCGGACCTTTGCTGACACAGAAGGTAAGATTCACTCTCGCTCTGGATTTCACTCTCGATCTGGATGTAAGTGAACGCCTCGTTCGGAAACGGCAGCCGCTTTCTCTCGCCTTTGGTGAAGACAAAATGCAGACCTCATCATGAAAAGCCTCCACGATTGTCCTTCGCTTTCACCACCTTTTGACAAACTGGCACGACGCAAGCGGCATTCATAACCTGCCATTCATAAACCCATTTCACTAACCTAGACAGCTCTAAAATAACGCTCAGTTCTTTTGATAAGCCGCCTTTGGACCCAAAGCTAACGACACGGGCTGACCTCCTCAAACTTCAGTATTTCGTGGCTGTCTAGACAGACAAATCTAAGAATGGCACTGACCTGATGCCTGATTGTGATGCGGTTGTTTGAACCCCGGGTGCGGTTCGCAATGGCGGAGATTGGGAAGACAAACGCGGCGCGTCCCACCAGAGTTGCAATCAGAAGAACGGAGAACATGCCGAGCGCTTCGCTGCAAAAACAGAAAGATTGGTCCATCAGGGACAAACGGTCATGTGTCAGATACGAGGCTGGAGAAGGCTCTAACTGGATAGACTTCGCGAAAAACCAGGTTTCTTCGAGTTTGAGAGGCCTTTCACCGCTAGCCACACGTCATTTCGTAGTAAGGCTTTGACAGGTTGCCTCGCTGCACTCGAAAAAATAGTCTTTTTATGGGTTCACTTCGTGGGCTATCGTCCACAGCTGCGCTGAAAAACACGTCGAAAAGCATATGGGGAAAAGTCTTCAGCAGCAAGTCGCATGCCCGACGGGCCCGCAATTGGGTGCAATATGCAAATTCGCAAATGGTCAAATAAGTGCAACAACAAGGTTGAAGATTCTCACAAAAGACCGGCAAGCGGCTGACGAGCTTAAGGAGTGATGGCGATCGACCAGGACCACTATGGTGTCATGTCTCCGCAGAATTCGTAAGGTGGGTTTGATTCCACTTACAAGCAGAAGCGATTGCAACATCCTATCCAACATCAGCACTGGTTGAAAAGCGCACGCTCAGAAAACTCTGTCCAAAAGAAGCCTAGACTAGCCACATTTCGAGGCACAGCGGCTATGCAGGGACGGCGAAACAAAACCGTCGATGGTTACTGTTTTTCAGAAGGGTTTCAAGGGTTCCAAAAGATGAGCTGCCACGTGGCACTCACGTGGAGTGCGTCTGCTTCCATTTGGTCATCTCGACCCCGTCCAGTCCGACGTACAAAAAGATGAAGGTCTCGGCGATGAAAGACATGGTCGCAAACGCGTGCCTGCAAATAAGAACTATCGGCTTGAGGAGCAGGGTTAAGGTTAAGGTTAGGGGGAAGAAGGTCACGAGGGTTCCGCTTGAGAGTTATAAATTCTAGGGGTTTGACATAATCAATCTGGAATGCGAGGATAGAAGTTGAGACATGAAAATCTCAAAGCTTACTTTCTCAAATTCTCAGGAATTGAAGATCCGGGTTGGTTCGCCTGAATTGTAGAAGAGTGTGAGTGGCTTGCTTGCTAACTAATATGGTTCGACGGCCTTCGACAAAATTTCATCAGCGAACAGTCCAGTGTCAAAATGCGAGAGCTTACGACTGTACTCGAGCGAGGGTTGGGAATATCAGCGGTCAATTATGCTTACAGCAACAAGTACCCTTACTTTCCTAAAGTTTAGAGCTCAGGAGAGTAAGGAACGAGGTTGCAAAGGCGGCCGTCGAAATCTGTAACCCATCCGTCGTCTGATGCTACAAAACAAAGGCGGCCGTCGAAATCTGAAACCCATCCGTCGTCTGATGCTACAAAACAAAACCTGCAGCCTGTACCAAGCAGTCCCGGATTGCAGAGCAGTAGTGACGTCAACTCACCGTGTGGTGATCCTCGAGCTCTCTGTGACGTTGTGCCACGTGTAGTGTGACATCACGATGCCGCAGAAGAAGACGGTCAGGATGCTGCTGAGCTGGGCCATCTGCGGAGGCGGCTTTCATGTTTCAATCCTGCAGACCTGATGCTTCTCTTTCGTGACTTGCCTGGTGCCTCACTTGCCTCTCAGCAGAACGATATCTCGTGGCAAAGTCTTGGATACAGTCTCTGGCAATCTTACGGTGCTGCTCTTCATCTCCCGATGTTGCGACACCACAAAAGGATGGTATGAAGCAAAATCTAAGTATAACGTTTAAAGGAGTCTCAAGAAGTCACAGGGAAGGATTAACTTTCGCGAGAAAGATGCTGCGGCAACGAACAGACCCATCCTCGGTCCGCTTTCTCAATCCTGATTGATGAACCAATGATCCTTCCGGCAATGCGTAAGCTCTAGGTTTCCACCCCGGCTTCGGAGGCCATCAATCGAGACACGCCTTATCAACACAGCTTTGTTCGCGAATTGTTAGATCTTCCCACTATAAATGTGAGCGCTCTTTGTAGGAGCGGTTGCTCAAATGAAGATGGATCATAATAAGGAAAGGAACCCGCAAATCTGCTCACCTCCGCCATGATGTAGGACAAGTAAGCCATGAGAATCATCACGGCAATCTCCCGGTCCGTTGAGTGCTTGCCCAGGTACAGGCGCTTGATCGTGTATGCACTGAGAAGGCCGACCTGCAAGAAGTTGCCAAGTTTGTTCTCCGTTGATTTACAGCGCTTCTCAAGCGAAACGCTAAGTCTTTGAGGATGTGGGGAAATTTGATAGTTGGACGGCAAAGTTAGTCAAGTCCAAACCACCTAATGCGGCAACTAAGTTCGACTAACTTTCAAGGTTTCCTGTCAAGGGGCCCCTTGCATAGCACTGTAAGCTGCAAAAGAGCCATCAACAGGTCAGTAGATGCGCTTGTGAATCAAGCCGATAGGCAGACACACACGACTCAAAGACAGCCCAGCGCGCACACCGCAGTACAATCCAGAGGTTTGCAGCTCACCCCGACTCCAAGCGCCGTGCTAGCCAGGAGGAGATAGACAAAGTTGAGCAGGATGTTGAGGTAGACGCCCGCGCTGAACTCCGCAACGTTGAAGGTCTGGAAAGCTGCAGGGGTCCTACAAAGGGGTCATCACTTAGCTTCCATCTGGGGGCCTTAGCCGATGGTCTGGGCTGTTTTCCTCTCACAAAGAAGCTTATACCCGCGGTCTAATGCGGACCACTGTCTTTGAGGGAGACTAGAGTGGAGCTGTTTCCATGCACCCCGAGACCTGCGGTCGATTCATGCGAGGCACAGTTCCAAAATGCGGCCTGCGACGCAGTCCCAACCTTCAAACGAAGCACAGGCGAGACACGGTGTGGCTGCGATTTGCGGGGCTGGTCGAAGCAGGTTGCCTCCTTACGGAGATTCGAACCAGGCTGTCATGAATCAAATAAACGGCACTGGACATCGTACATACGGATCGTGCGAATCGAATCCAAGCTCGTGTTCGAGCTGGAGGCAGCCATTCGCATACCTCGAAAGAGGACGACGGTTGTGGCATCGTTAACCACTCCCTCCCCAAACACGAGACCTGCAGGCATGACAGTCTGTCTAACTCTTCTCCTCTTCACCGTCGAGCTTCACAAATCTTGACTCCTTGAAAATCGAGCATGAGAACATATTGATTGCATTGAACAGACGACATCGTTGGCCTTCGCTTGTATCTTTCGAATCGTAGGGGCGAACGGACAGCATGAGATTGAGTCCAAGATCTTGGAGGGCTATTCTAGCAAAGTCTGGGTAATCAGCGACCAAGAATGGTGATTGACATTTAAAGAGTTGGGGTACGCAAGCACTTCTGATGACTTGCGAGGAGCTCAGGCGTTCTTCGAGAGTACGAAACGGTCCAGTCGGGACGAAAGCCTTACTGTAGAGAAGGGGAGTCTCGTCCTGGTTTAGGATCTGAAGGACGCAGACGGAGTCGGTGGCCGAAAAGATGGTGCCCAAGGCTGCACACATCAATGATACGTTTTACTTCGGCTTTGAATCAAGGACCAAACATGACAGAAGGGGGAAAACAACGAACAGCCTTGCTCGCTATGTGTTGGAACGACCTCTTGAGTCTTCGCTTCGTTCTAAAATCCGGAGAATCAGAATCGAATGTGTTGCGTCAGAAAGTGTTGGCTCGGCCGAGATTGTCCGCTCCAGTAACCCACACTTTGTCCGCTGTTGCTGCTTGACATATTTTGGAAGTCCTTCTAACCGGTCCATCAAGAGAGGTATTGGACATCGAGCACTTCCTCTATGGCGAGAAAAGCTCAAAAGCGGTCACCCTGACAAACAGCTCCACGATGCGCTCACAGAAACAAGGCCGTTCAAATTCAAGAGGCGCGAGCGAGAGAGTAATCAACAATGTTCAAATGTAAGAACGATTTCCGAGTAAGGCGGTGGACGTGACTAGCAAGGTCGGAGCATAATCTAAGCAAACTGTTCCAAATCCTTTTACATACAAGATGTTAAAGACAAAAATGGGGCAATAAGGATACAGAGCTCTTACCCAGATAGTCCGCAATCGTCAGCTTTCTGATGCCAAAGCGGGGGAACGTGATCTTGGCAGCTACAAAGATAGGATTTGGAATCTGATTTTCCGCCACGAAGCAGGCAGACTTTGGCAGAAGGAGAAGCAGCCTTCCAGTTTCCTCAACTTCAAGATTGACCAGATTAGTGCCGCAAAAATCTCAAATGGGTCGAAACAAGGCACCTGTGTCGATTCAAACGATTGGCAATGCGCAATATGCATCTAAAGAGTGCCAGCAACTTGTTATCCGGAATCATTTGGGTCCAACGATGATGCTTGTCTCTGTTACGCAAACTTCTGATTGCTCCTACTCTCACTCTACCATGCTTCGAGGGAGAATTGCAAGGTCCGACTCCTCCCATATCTATGCGATGCCTTGTTGGTTGTGACAGCGGAATAGCATTCGAGAAAAGAGCCGAATTGCGACTTCTTGCGCTTGTATGTTGGCAATCAGACTAAATAATCAGACTGAATAGTACAAACCACAGGTAAAACTTCACATTTAGACAGACTGCTCAATCGACCAGAGGTTTACCTGCTGTAATGACTGCGGTAGAGACAAACACCCCGACCACGCCATACAGGATGATGGGAAAGAAGTTCCGGAAAAACTGCTTCTTCTTCACCGAGAAGCCTGAAGGAACGCTCGAGTGGATTAGTGGCGGATGACCTTTGTGGCGAGTGCGCAACATTCAATGGATTTCAGGGCTGCCCTTTTAAAAAGCCTTCGCCTGTTGACTTGGATGCTTTGAAGGTCAAGAATCAGATCTCTCATTGCTCAGCCTCGTTGCTACTGGTCTGACACCCTAGTAAGCCTTTTATCCATGATTCTCATTCTTACACCCATTTCCCTTTGCATAATCCAAGTGTTCGGAAGCATCACAGTCATCGGCACTGGTAGCTCTTGGTCTACAAGCAAACATATTGGAGGAAAGCGGCTGGGGCCACTGATATCTGATCAAGTTGTGACTAAGAAGCAGACACCTTGCCTGCATTGAAGATAATTGGAGGTAGAAGATAGATGAAGAAGATCTCAGTGTCGAAGTGGAGGAGAGATGTTGTCTGGCTTCCACCAGAGGCAATAAAGAGTGCACCGCTGACAAGCCCCTGCAAGAGAAAGTAATACGGTTGCGATTCACTCTGAATAACAGTTGGGATTGAAAAGGAACAGAAAAACCGGACCAGTCCTGCTAGCGAGAGCAAACACAAGGATGAATAATCTAGTGCTGTCTTCTGACCCGTGCACGTATCGAAGAAGAAGTCACAGAACTTCGCAAAAAAGATGGTATGGGGACATAAAATGTGCGCTCAGACGAAATATTGTGAAGGGTTGAAAGACAGATTGACCACAAAGTAGCTGCGGCACACTGACTGAAAAGCAATCGAATAGGCATACATTGGCAGCAAAGCATGCAATCAATTGCCCCTTTCATCAATGATGCTGTATCATCAGACTTCGAAGTGAAAGCTCCGATAAGAGTTTCCAAAGCATGAGTAGGCATTTTCAGACGCGTGACACTAAAAAGAGGTACAGAGGTACAGCAGAGTTGTCATACCACCACATTGCATAAGTTGATAATTTAGAAAAAAACCTCCCAAACTGAAGGCGTTGATTGATCAAAGATGCACCACGCCATGATGAAGCTGGTCACTTATGTGGTGGCACAGAAGCTGACGTCAGAAAGAGGATGGTGCTTCTAAAACTGCACCTTAAAATTGTATCAGCCAATCCGAAGTTGATAATTCATGGTTTAGGCAGCACTAAGGAATTCTGACTGAATTCTTCTTCCTTTCCTACACTACTCCATTAAAGTGGATCTGGGTTTCCATGTCACCAGAGCCTTCAAAACATGCACTATACCGCCAAAGAGCGCGAACTCACCAGCAAGATTGCGATGGTGGCCTCGTTGAAAAATCTGCTTTCTTCCAGGAGATGTCCCAGAACGATGCACAGTAGCAGCAGCGTCACAATCAGGACCAGGGCCCATACGTGCATGTGATCAGACTCCTCCCATGCAGCCGCCACTGACTGTAACACCATGTTCCCCACTGCTGCCATTGAGAAAGTGGCGGCAATGATGGTGTAGAAAAGAAGGGGCGGAGGGGGGAGGCGGTACAAAACAAAATTCTCTTACACCACAGGTTTACATGGGTTTCTGGACATTGCAGTCCCCCTGTATGAGCTTTTCCTCAATCAAGACCGTACGGTGCACAAACTTCGAATGGTGGACAGACAACGGCGCCAGGCGGAATTGAATGACTCGAAGCAACCGCAGCTCACTTCAAGATTGGTGCGGTTTTGCTTAGATCATATAGAAGCATTGTTTGGACAACAAAGTACAACAAACCTCCTAATCTTACAGAAAGCTGCACAGCGGGCTCTTCTCTTGCAAGGATGTAGAATTCTGCTCAATTGACAGTTGCAATAACTTTTTCCAATGCCAATGCCAATGCAGATTCTCTCGAGATCATCACAGATCTGCAGGTCCTTCTTTCACGGAAGTTTAGGGTTTTCCGTCAAGTTTGCTTAACCAGCCTCAGGCTTGTAGGGTTTCTTCTGAGGGTTTTGTTTGGGAACCATTGTCAAACCCTGCTCAAAGCCTGCGCGCAAAGAAGGGTTTTCAGCAAGGGGGGTTGAAGTTTAACTATTTCGTTCGAAATCTGCATGCTGCGCGCAAATTCCAGCTCAGAAGAAGCTAGAGGCCCTTGACTATCTAGAGCACTCCATTGGCATTGGCGTCATATAGGCAACAGGGGCTGGTGGGGCAGAAGATGCCATGGGGGAATGAAATAATTCAGCCATTGCAAAAGGCTTGCTCCAGTCCTGTCTTTCTGCTAAAGATCGACGGGGTAAACTTCAGATTGCACACATGGCAACTTCCGGGCGCAAGATGAAGGTCGACCTGTTCGTCGAAGTGCCGGCTGCAGGAAGACACTTCCTACACACTGTAGAAGTTGCACCAAGCTCGTCAACAGCTGGAGCTGCGCATGTGAATTATGAGCAATTGATTCAAGCCCTGAATGAAGGGCAGCTGCTACCCCCGGAGGCATGCTATGCTTTTCTCCAAGAGGATGGTTCGCCAGTTGGGAACATGTCGACGCGATTGGTGCCAGGACGAGGAGCGATTCTTACGCTGACACGGGCTCCGGCAGTACGACCACCAGGTAGGGAAGGAGATTTAGAGTTTAGAGTGTAAGGTTTAAGGTTTCAGGATTCAGGTTTTCGGTCTGTTTGACAGTGATCGGAAAGGAGGGCAATCAGGAAGACTGCAAAGGACCACCCATCTGCAATGCTGTTAAGCAGTGAGCAAGTAAAGTTCTGTTCGTTCACTAGCGCAGATTTCCTGGTGTTCTAGGATCTGTAGAAGCATGTAATCGACCTTGCTTTCATATACTTGGCCCCTGCCTTGAGCCCAGTCCCTATCGCTTCCCAGATTGATGGTTGCCTGTTATGCTGTATGATTCTCAAAGGCTGCTCTTGAGAGTACACTCATCATCTCTTCGCAGATTTCTCTTCCTCAAGTGCCTCTGATCAAAAGTCTACTTATTACTCACATGCTGTTGGTATACTTGTCCTGAGTACTATGCACTTGGGGAATGCCTGATCGCCGCCAGGCTTGCTTAAGCTCCTCTTTGCTACCTGTTGAAGGCACGAAGAAACAGTCTGTGAACAACAAATGGTAGCAGTATTGCTCGTTTCGTCCTCAGCAGGAGCCGGTATTGGCTTACTTTCACCTCCATTCTGAATCCATGAATTTGCTAACCAGACCACTTTTGACATGACCTGACCACCTGACCCGATTCTGTTACCACTGCCTCTCACCCTGGAAATTGTTGAGAAACTATCGAAGAATCATACATGAGCCGTCCAGTAATGTCGTTTTACTGCAGATTTGTCCCCCGTGATGGTTAGCTCGCAACCCCGCGCCCATGCCCCTAGCGTCTGTCGGAGTCTCCGAAGCGGAGCTGAGATCAACATCCCAGTGCAAGCGGCAACGGGGACCAGCATCGAATGCATCATGCCACGCCAGAAAGCGCTCGACCTGGGCCTTCACTGCTTGCTGGAAGACATCAACGAAGGATTTGACTACTTTGGACTGGTCAACTGCAAGGTAAACGCTTCGTTCTCATGCTCGGTTTCGTTGTTTGAATCGGCCTTCCGCTTCTCTTCCTGTCTATTCTGTCATCATTTCCTTTCTTGTTCCGCAATGCCAGGCAAGCCATTCATCGCCTTGTCCTTCTCTGTTCCTCTTTTCCTTCGACTTCTCATGATCTGTTCCTTGTTCTTCCAAGCAGTCAGTTGGTCTTTTGAAGCTTCCTTCTGTACCTACAGCATCACAGAAAGTACTCTTTGTTTTTGGATACTGCGAACCTGGACAAGAAAGATGATGGGACAACTACCCTTGAGGTGGATAATTGTCGCCCCAAGCGATATCAATTTGGTCCCTGAGTGGAGTGGCCCTCTGGCCTTTGCATATTTTAAGTTCCGCAGTGCTATCCTGGGGGGTTCAAGTTCTGGAGAACAGAAGTGTGTATGGTCGGATTAGGAGAAACGGAGATGTGCACGTAGAAGCCAGATTGATCTGCGTCTGGCACCTTCTTCAGTACTTGTTTTGTCCGCACTCCTACGAACTCCACTTCGTGTTTGTCACAATGCTTTGAGACTTGATCAGAACAGAACTTGACCTTCTCGTGAGGCACCTTAAGATTTTACTGATTGCTTGTAACTAACGAAACGTGCGAAGGCTGGCGACTCGAGGCTGCTCAAGAATAGAACTGGACTGTTTTGTTTTTAGCAATTGTTCCTCTCTCGAGCTGCTTTCGAACGACTTCGATGGTCAATCTGTACAGTAGTTCAATATACGGGTCTCGTACATGGAGCGAAAGTTCTTCCCTCGAGTGCTCTGCAGAAGTTGTGATCTGCTTAAGACGGGGCAGAACCAATAGTTCTGGAGAGGAAGTCCTCCACTCATTTGGCTTCTCACTTCTTGAACGACGTCTCTGATCTCAGAAAAAAGAGTTTCCACTTACGCTGAACACCAATCGCTCAGGATCGTAGCAGTCCTCACGGCAGTCCTCTGGCCCGGAGTAGATGCCCCCCAAGTAATGACTCTTCCTCGTCTGCAGATTCCAGGAAACATGATGCTCCATGGCTCAAGACCGGACGAGGGGCTGGACTCCCTCCTTCACGTGTACTGCAGCAAACAGCTTGTTCCAGACATGCCGTTCTTTGCCAACACGCTGATCATCGGTTCCCCGGGGGTTATGAAGATGAAAATGAGTATCAACTACGGGGTTAGGGAAAACCCACACCACCCGAAACCGTGCCCTTATAGGTGCTGCAATCAAGATCTGGGCCCGGAGATTCTGGGGGAAGTCAGGGGGTGCGACAGCTGCGGCAGAGTCAACGAAGATCTTCGGAGGTGTCCCTGCAGGACAGTTTCCTACTGCAACGAAGTCTGCCAAAAGCGGCACTGGAGGGCGGGGCATAAGCGGGTGTGCAGTGCGAGGGTGTCGTAAACTGTGCCTCCGTGTTAACTTCATTAGTATAGCAGATAAGCAAATGTATTATGTAGTTGGATAATCCTGCTTAGGGACCCTTGCACTCAAGCGGAGTGTGGGGGCCTGTACATATCACCGTACTTACCATGACGGTAACATCAGATAGGTCAGAAAATGCATATTGGAACTTGATCCGGTTGATCCAGGTAAAAGCCGACTCAAAATGCAGGGGTCACTGAGCTGAAAGAAGCATGCATGCAAAGAATAAGTTGTCCTGCGAGTCCAGGGATTTGAACCTTCGCGCGGCCGCCCCGCCCGGCCGCCTAAGTAGATGTACGAATCGAGTCCGATCGAGCCTAATTTCGATCGTCTTTAAATTAGCCTCAATTTCATATGCATGCATGGGACAGCTAGTTGGATACATAGCGTTCATGAAGAACCTCCAGGACCCGCCCCTATCTCCTTGCTCCAGATTGAAAGTTGAAAAGATTCGATCGCAGCGTTATCCACCGTATGCCGTCGATAAACCCATCGACGGTGCGCGCAGCCCTCAGCCAAATCGAGCAGTGTCAATCGGGACCCGATGGTACACAAAACGGTACAATTCGTGTACAAAGTGAACCGCCACACGCATGCGTATTTACTAAATTGCCACATGGTACGCGCTGAAGCTAGCCAGTTGTAAATTTTGTCAGGTTCTGTGTCAGACTTTGATTCGTACCGTACGGTTGGCCAATTTATCGGGAAGACCTCTACGGTAGTTGCAATTTAGGCTGGCCGTTGCCCGCGATAAATATGACAGCGCTCGATACATCAAGAGGATACCGCCAATTCAAACTCGCCGGTGCGCACTGTGCACTGTGCTCTGTAGCTACAGGCGAG